CCTAATTTACATAAATAGAATCGATAGCTACAACTCTAGATCTACACAAAAAATTGTGGTTATTTCAGCTTCATTATTAACAGATAATCACTGCCGATCTGCCTAGTAAAAAAAATAAGATTTATTAATTTTTTTTCTTTTTTAGTTCCAACACTAGTACTGAATTCATCAATTAAAATAAAAACATCAAGTATTTAACAAACAAAATACACTGTCACAGCGTAAGCGCAACGAAAAAAAGAGAGTGAAAGGTAAATCAAATTTAAATCCAAAAATCACAAATAAATTCGCAGCTTATAAGTTATTACTGCGAAGGATTCAATCATAAATCAATAACACGAACCCAAAAACCTAAATCGAAACGCTACAATAAAGAATAATATATTCAACGAAAAACAAATGCGGAAACAAAGTAGAAAGTAAATCAATAGATCTGGAAATTTTGTAAGAATAAGAGAGAGAAAGGAACCTTCAGTGATCAGATCATTCAATAAGAGAAGCCGGTTGGGGAAAGTGAAGCAGGTTTTTATTTGAAAGTTAAGAGATTTGAGGAAATTATAGAATTCGAAATAAGGGATCCGGGTTTTTTCCCCTTTTTTTCTTAAACCGAGGGAAATTAAGAAGTCGCACGCTCTCAGATTCACAGATCTAAAAGAACATTTCAACACTGTGATGTGAGTTACAAACGGGCGCTTATTTAGGGAAATATTATGAGAAATAAAAATTCAGGGAAATAGGATATATCCCCATTTAAAAACTTAAAAAAATCACGAATCGAGGATCGTCAAGGTTATGAGAATTGTTATAATGTTTCGAGGTTTTAAATTTGAATATCATGAATATTAGAGATGTAAGTGTTTGATGTCAATTGATTACAAATTATTTTTAAATAGAAAATATTTTATTTTTATCTCAGATTAATAAAAAAAATTAAAAATAAATTTATTAAAAAGTAAGTGTCTAAATTATAATATAGACTAATTTTAAGTTTTTAAAAACTTTTTCGCTTAAAATAATTTTAAGTTTTTAAAATTTTAATTTTAAGTCTCTAAAGGTGTTAATATGCAATATGCTTAGAATTTTAAACATAGAATCCATAGCAATTTTCTTTTAAGTGACCTTCAAGGCCAAAACAAATTCATTTCCTTAATCGAAAGATTTCGTCTTAGAAAAGCAGACTAGTTTTCTTTTCTATAATATTGCATACCTCTGAAAAATGATGCTTAATTTCTTCTTTGTTTGCAATGCCTCGGGAAGCTCAAGTTTCAACACTAGTACTCGTTCTAATGCATTTCTATTTTCTGAATATTCGTTAATCAAATGAAATACGCTTCTCAGTTCTTCATTCACATGTGAGAAGGCAAAAAGTGAGCCTGATTGAATAATTTCGTCAATTTGAAACTAATAGGAGGAGAAACGAGGGCGTTCGAAAGTTTTATTGTTTATGTGGGATTATTGTGGTGGTGAAGATGAAGGCATCGTTATGTGTTCGCATTTGCAATTCCATGTGATGGGTGGTGGTGATTGGGAATTCTGGAAGTCGGCGGATGGAAAGGAAATTCAAAAGAAGAGTGAAAGTTGCAGTGATAGGGGAATGTTTGGAATTGATTTTTTTTTAATATTCGAGGTAAATTAAATATAAAATTATTATTCAATAATTTATTTGATATTTTAATAATAGTTTAGAGATAAAATTAAATATTAATATTTTTATTAACATTATCCCATCGTCAATTTAACGGGAATGATAACAGAATGATTATGTTGTTATAAATCGGCAACGACTATTTTATTAGAAATTGATAATATTAAAATCAATTTATTATTTTTAAAATTTTAGTGAAAAAAAATTACTCAACCAATTGTTGCTCGGAGCCGAGGCTGTTATTCCCCGTGTCAAAAGGTAGTTTTCTCCATTTTCTCGGGAAACAAACAAGTACCCTGATTCATTGAAAACAATCTGGACAGCAGGACTCGATGAAACACCAGCAGCCGTACCAGTAGCATAATAAGGCTCATTAAGATGCTCACTAGGCAAGTTTATTATCAATTTATTGTTTTCAAAATTTTAGTGAAAAAAAATTACTCAATCAGGAGCGGTTGGTACTAAACTTGGTGATAAGTAAGAGGGCTATTGATGTGGCCCGAAGTTAGGGCCAGAGAGAAAATGGTGGAAGTCCAGTCAGAAGTTCAATTGGACCTAGGGAAACAAGCTTCTTCCTTCTTTTTTAATGTTTCAAATGCCGACACCCAACATTGAATCTCAATCAAACTACACTCCATTTTCCTATTCAAAATATTTGCACCAAAATTAAATGTAACACGTCCTTCCCAGAAAGGCCAAAAAAGGACGAAAAGTCAAAATTGATTTCACGATCGATCATTTAGTTTGCTTTTGAAACTAAAACTTCCCATGCAGATTGGAATTAAAAAATTGAACAAGCTCGTTCTGTTATTAAAATCTTACAACCCAAAGCTCTCTCTCTATATATATATACAAATGAAGATGGAACGAGAAAGGTGAAGAGAACAGGGGAGATCGGGGGATGATAACAAGAACAGTAAAAAAAATCATTGAACAACCAATCGCCTTGCACAGAAGGTGCAGTAATACCTTCTCTTGGTCTTAAAATACAAAGGCAAAAAGCAGAACCTCCACTGGCTTTCAACATCCATGGCTTGTATCATCCCTCCACAGTAGGGGCAAGCTCCTGGTGCCGGATGCCTTGCTATCACCTGCTCATCCTCATCACATACGAACACCAAGCACATCTTCAATTGTCACTTGTTTGATTACTGGGAAGCTTTGAATCGCCTGCTCCGATTATATGTGGAATTAAAAGTCTCTTTTCAGGGTTTTTTTTGGGGGGGGGGGAATTTATTGGAAGAAAACGAGCCAAATAGATTGCTGACAAGAGCCTTTGCTACGATATTTATAGACAACAGTTTGCCAATTTCTTAGCCACACATATGGAGAGGAAAAGTATAGGTTAGTCTGGAAGGTTCCAATAACAATCTATCCTTATCTCTTAAGAATAAAGAATTTTAGTGCATGACTTTATTGTCATCGACTTGTCTATTTTAAACGCGTTAAATTTCAATATCAATGCTGCTTTATCATTTTCCTATTTCCCTCGCTCTCGTACTTTTGACTTGGGAATAGCGATGCTGCTTTCACAATTACAACACCGAGCAAAACCTGAAGAAATAACATCAGGCCTAGGCAAGGCGAAGTCCACTTGTAAAGAGCCAACCCAAGACCAATCAGACACTATGACTTGTGGCCTTTGGGTACCTTTTTGTGGAGCCCCGATTAAATCGAATAGATATGCCTTTCTAAATTGAAATGGTTTTGGCTGTGCAACTCAGGCAAGAAAACATGGATAGATATATAATCGTACATGACTGCGACTGTGACTTAATCGTTCTTTACTTTCATTGTTAATAATAATAGTTTCATACTGTAAGTCCTTCAAGTTGTTATGTTCATAAACAAGTATTTACATGGTATAATTGGCATTGATGACAGCAAATGCTGAAGTATTAATAAAACTTCATGATCTTCAGATTTTAAACCAAAATACATATAGATCAAGCCAATACATAAAAAATTTGTTCAAATCTTATAATTAAGCGTACTATAAAGTTTTTATCAAACTTCAAAGACCAGGATCTTGGCTAAACACCAGGCAACTACAATGAAATAGAAGGCATAGAAGCTTAGCGGCAGGCCTCCACAACTCCGAGAATAACTGTCGGCGACTCATCAGACATCTACTGTGCGCACGTGCTGCAATAGATCTTTCTCTTCTTCCAGAAAAAATGGGCAAAAATCAGCACTTCCAGAGTCTTTATCTTCATAGCTTGCAGTATACCTCCACAGTAGGGACAAGCACCTGGTTGCCGCTGCTTATATCTGACCCTCTCATCTTTTTCCCACACAAACACCCAACATTTCCCTTGTATCGTCCAGACACGAGAGGAGGTTATTGAGTCATTGATAGGCATCTTCCTCCCTTTTTTCTTATGATTGCCTTGAATTGACCTAGGGTATTGCATAGATTATATACCGGAGGTGGAGGGACTTAGGGATACGGGAAACCAGTTTTAGTGTGGTTCGTGGGTGTGTTGCATGGCAGTTTTATTAACTGCTGTAATGCACGTAAGCATGCCCCATTATCAATTGCTTGTTTCTTGGTTCGTGGATTGTTCTTACGTTTCACAGCACACGTTAACACTGTTCGGACGACTCGAATACTAGCTATAAATACCCAGGTACGATTCTCATCTAGGGGTGGACGCTTTCAGTCTTTCGCTACCTTAAAATACAATGTTTTCTACTGTGATTAGAACCTTTACTGACTAGAGTATCAGAGCGTGTCTTGAAAACACTAACTCTAAAATCTCCGAAATAGTTTATCTTGCAAATACACTCGGCCTCCAGGCCCAGACCGTTCAAGACCGCAAACAATTTTCATAATAACTGTCCAAGCTCAGAAAATACATTTTAGCGGCGAAACAGAGCACTCAGTTTGCTTCGTTCCTAGACGGGCTAGACCGTAGCACCATGTGCTGGCAGAGTGAGAGCTTGGAGATCCTGAAATCAACGGCAGCATGGTTTCAAAACCTTTGGTGTTGGAATTCGGCCATCCTTGATCAATAATCAATTGACAAAGAAGTAAACTTTAACTTGAATAGAGAACAGCTGAATATTCCCAGAAGATCTAATTCAATCGAAGATGTTTAAATTTTGCATGTCTATTGATTTTTTATTCTCGGCATTCCAAAACCACACCTTCCTTCTCTTAAATACTTGCACAAAATTCGATCATAGTATATGTCAAATATTCGACTCAAACAATTGTTTTTATGCGAACGAACCTTCTTCTCTGTGAGATAATAATAATTCATTAAATCTCAAAATAAAAACAACATAAAAATCTTAAACATACTGATCTGTAAGATATCATAAACCAGTTCTTGTATTCCTATATGAACTACGAGTAATTTACCCGTAACAAGGGAAGTTTTTAGGCATAAAGAGCTTGGCAACTCGAAGGAGAAAGGTCGCGGAAAGCCTTTGGGGCAGGCATGACTTCCCAGTTCGCTATGAACTCCCCGTTTAGTCCCTCAAATGCGCTCCCTATTGCCACGTTTAGCCCACTCGACACCACGTAGATTTTCCCTTCCACTGCACTCAGAGCAAACGGCCTCTGTATTGTCTCACGTGGGAATTTATCACCACCTACGTACTGCCACGTGTCACGATCAGGAACGTATACCTTCATCGGGCAGTCACCGTATTCCGAAATGACAAATAGCCTGTCACCCACAACCACGCTCACCCCAGTCCAACCTTCTTTCATCCCGTCCTTCATTTCATGCCACGTGTCACTCTCCGGGTCGTACACCCCTCCTCTTGGTGAAAACAAGAAAGGCCACGTCCACCCTTCTGTCACGTACATCTTTCCCCCAACCTCAGCTGAATCGTACCTGGCCAATCCCACGCGCATTTTAGAAACTTGTTCCCACGTGTCCGTCTGTGGATCATAGCATTCCACGGAGGTGTTAGAATCATTATACTCGGCCCCACTTCCACCGACGGCAATTATCTTACCATTAACATTCCCAGCAGCGAAGAACGATCGCGTGGTCACCATGGGAGACGCTATGGACCATTGATTTGTGGATGTAGTGTATACCATCGTTGTATTGATGGAAGTTTGTGTGTCTGAGCACATACCGCCTAAAACGTAGAGCTGACCTTGACGTGGAATCGAAGTACAAGCAAACCCAGGTGGGCACACAGCCTTGGAACAAGGCATGGAAGGTAATATAAACCAACGGCCTGATCGTGGGTCCAGCGCTTGCCATTGTATCCTGGCCGTCGATTTATGGAAAGCGAAAATGAACAGATAAGGCAGAGACAGCGATAATGATCTCTTACAGAGAAGGAAGGCAGGGTCTGTTATGATCCTGTTCCAGGAGGAACACACTGAACGTGCCAACGATTGGTATGGATATGGAAGATGAAGAAGGCAAAGCTCTGCGATCTCGTCGGGTAGCCCTGGAATCAACGGCTCCGATTTCTTCTGATATTCTTGTTCATTGTTGTCTTGTTGCTTGCCCGAGAAAGACTTGGAAACAGCCATAAATCTTTGAAACTCTTGGCGTAGACTAGAACTAAGCAGAACAGAAGTCGAGGAATGTCATTAGAGCACGGTTCAGACTTCTATTCACACATATATATAGAACCCTAATTTTACTTAAAGGAGGCTTGATTAGAGGGGAAGTGTCGACTGCGAGAACCCAATTTTACAGAACGAACTTTGCAAAACAGTAAAAGGGTTTGGAGTTCGACTATTTTAATGGCTTCCTTTCTTACCATTTTTGTGAAGAAGAGAAAATAAAGGAGAGAACTTGATTTGTTTTGGTTGGTTTGTGTTTGTTGGGTAGTTAGCTTCTTGAAGCCCGAATATTAGGAGAAGCGTTAGATCAAGTGACGCACCGAAATTCAAACAAATCAGAAACCAAATGACTATATGGGAGTAAACAAAAGAAAATGATTTCCATTCCGAACTTGAAAATTTCACACGAATAACATAACTTGAACTAGGAGACGAGCACCTGCTTTCTGGTAACCGCAGCTTTCACAAAATTTAATGGTTTAATATAATTATATATGTTCTTCCTGAGATGACTATTTTAAGGATTTATTTCGTTATTATTCTAAAATTAATTTGTTTCACGAAGAAACAAATCTTTTTTAAGAAAACTTTGCACAATAAGTTTAGTAGTAGGTGAAGAGTGAGACTGATTGATTAATAAAACAAGCTTAAGATAAAATAATTGTTAGAATTGAAATTAAATCGTTTATGTATTATATATGTTATGTTTATATAATTAAATAATACTCATATCTTTAATCTATGAATATGTATGACAATACGTGTCACCACCTTGAGCTGCTGCTGGGACTGCTTTCGTTTGAGAATTAGCCTGCACTGCGATGCTACAGCTACTTGTCTTCAAACGGAAAAGGAACGAAAAATTGAAAAGCATGAAATGAAAGCATTACATTACAAATGGGCGTTGTTTAGATCAAAAGAACCAATGTGTAATTAACAACAGGAGTGTTAGCTTTAAGTGAGACGAAATTGATGCCCTGAAGGCTGAATGCATAGCCGCTTATCGTAAATGGCGTGATTAACAGTCTTATCTTAATATGGACCAACAAAGATAATGTCTAATCTAACGAGTCGGACGAAGCTGTTTCATCATATTAAACCCAACTTTGATTATTATGCTTATTGAAATTAAGTCACTTTTCTTGTCTTTAGCTGGAATCCATTGAGTTTGCCTAATTTTGTAATTTTCTCTTTAACTACCCAAAATATGCAAAACAGTGAAAAGATAAATCAACAGTGCGCCATGTATTTTTCGTTTAATCTTAACATCTTCGGGAGAAATGAGTGATATTATTCTTGAGCTGGTAGATCATTCATGATATTTGGGATAATTTTGTTGATTTTTAATTATTAATTATCGAATTGGACAGGTGATTTCAGTGATAAAAGATATGATTAATTTTTCTAAAATTATTAAATTCGAGCAAATGAGTTTGTAGGGTATGTGAACGTTGTCAATAGGTTGCTTTTTTTTTTCTTCTAAAAGGCACTACCTTGTAATCAACCCAAATTATTCAAAAAATTAATTACTAGTCCTCAAAAATTATATACGATTATGTTTATTACCATGCATATTGCTGTAATTAATTAAGTTATCAAACGTTTCCTAATAAATAAACCATTTTTTAACTAATTTATAAATTCTAGAAACAGGATATTATTTACATCGTAACAAAATAAAATGAAATTGTATCATATACACTAAATAAAAGTTAAAATTAAAGAGCTTATAAGTCACTTTTGATGTTGGAAAATGATTAGTAGTACGAAACATAATAGTTTCTGAGTCCTTTGAACAAAAAAAATATTTAATCTTTAAATTTTTGTATATCGAACTAAATTTTAAATTCATAAAATTAATTAATATATATATAATATATATTTATTTGATGAAAATTATAATTAATAATAAAAGTGCTGATATAGCAATTTATAATATTGACGCGAAAGAGTGAAGTAGTGATCAGTGGAACGAAAGAAAAGGGCAGTATGAGACCATATGAGGGGAAGAAAAGAAAGGAAAACAACTGGAGGAGGGGGCGACAGATAGGGTCGTTAGATTATTATTATTATTTATTAAAATAAATTTCCATACTACTTTATTTTAGTGCACATATTTTTCAACTGTTCGGATGAGAATTAGGTTAGATCACCTTTTTAAAATAGTGTTATGATCACCTTTATTGACTTAATGTAATTATCGTCTAAGATCAACGAATATGTATGAATTAAGTTGTGTTATAATGATAAAATATTTATATTATATAAAGTTAGGATTAAAATATCAAATTCATGAATAGCTTATACACCTTCTGTTTATAAAAAATGTTATGAAATAAAATAATATAAAAATCAGTAGTACTTGCCAAATCCATTGCCTATACATATCTATACAATTTTGAATGATCGATCCTATCAAACATCGGGAAAATGGCTAAGATAATGTAAGTGCGGTTTTTTAATTCCTAATATAATCTATTCTATGATTATTTTTCTATCTAGGATGAATTGAACAGTACAAATCTAAAGATATCAGGTGTTTCACGTGTCTTCAAACTAAATATGAAAACCTCACGACTCCATGATGTTTTCAAGAAAATGAAGAACCCACAACTGTATGTCGTCTTTAGACAAATGAAAAAGACCCCACGAATACACGCCGTCTTCAAAACAATAAAAAACTTTAATTCAAAAAATAATATGGTGGATATCTTATATAAGAAAATAATTTTTTCTACAACCCTATAGGGGCGAGGGATCCCCCCAAAACATTGATGTGTGTCTATATGTATATAAAATATAATAACCCTAAAAACGATGACCGCACCATTAGTTGAGAAATTGACTTGGGTTATTATCTTTTCAATTAGGCACTTATTTTGTATAACTTATCTTGGTAACTAAAAAATATTTAATTTAATAAAAAAATAAGTAAATGATAAAAATAAAAATATGAGAATAAATAAATGGTTAAATAAACAATTTATCTTTATATTATAAGTAAAAGATCTATATATATGTTTTCATACTTCCAATAACGAAAATAAATTTATATTTATCAAACGCATTTTTTATTTTTTTCCAAAATAAAAACAAAAATATTTACTAAAACTGAACACAAAATAATAACCCATGTTTATATTTTTAGTTGTCGGACTTTTGAAAATAAGCTTATTGGGGAACGTGGGCCAAAAACTGGGCATTAGAAGTGTGGCAGAGTAGGCCCAAGAAGATGTCTACCACTAAATTACTACCAATCAAGTTGTTTGGAACCCCGGCAGTTAGGCACCCACATTATCCGTTTGCAAATTGGATCGTTTAGATTTCGATTGTGATAAAATCATACTTCTTCTACTTGTAGATAGATCTCTACTCTTTTAGTCTTCTCGTCTTGTTTGCGAATCATTTGCAACTTGCATGGCTACCACTGGCTGATGGATTGCCGCGCTCTCCCCTCCGCCAAACAATGCCTCAACTCCACGCGTTCATGCTTTTGCCATCTAATTCTAAACCCTTTCCCCATCACAATATTTTGTCGTCTTCATCATCTTTTTCTTCTTCTGCTCCAGCTCGACGTCGTTTCCCAAGGACTTTCTCTCCCACTAAGCCTCCCAATCTCAAACGTCTCACCTCTCGCATCGTCCAACTCACTCGCCGCAAGCAGCTTGATCAGGTCAGCGGTGTGTGCGTGTGTGTTTTAAGTACTGTATATTGGAATTTATTGTTGTTAACTTGGGTGGATTACAGATATTGGAGGAAATCGAGAACGCGAAGAGAGAATACGGAAAACTGAACACCATCGTCATGAACGCGGTGATGGAGGCTTGCGTTCATTGTGGAGATGTTGATGTGGCTCTCAACATTTTTATCCAAATGACTCAACCCCACAGTTGTGGCGTTGATACGGTTACGTATGCTACACTGTTGAAGGTACTTTAAGAAAAATAAATTAATGAGCGAAACACTTCCGATGCACGTCGACTCATTTTATTTATTTTGTCTCTTGAAATTTTGCTAGTCGTTAATACACTAGATGTTGAATCTTTATTGTTTTATCTTTTGTACAGGGGTTGGGTCGGGCTCGAAGGTTTGATGACGCGTTTCAATTACTTGAGTCTGTGGAAAAAGGCACAGCTGCAGGGAAGCCAAAGTTGTCAACACAGCTTATCTACGGTTTGTTGGATGCCTTAATTGAAGCAGGTCAGGGTGACAAGTCCACTGAAACCTTTTCTTAGAAGCTATAGAAATCAGGGGTTGAATTTGAAATGAATGCTTTTGGGCAGCATTACAATAACATTACTTTATTATCATAATTCTGTCTATTTGTTTGTCAATGATAAAAGCGCTGGACTACCGGAGTGAGATCGTCTTTATGTTCAAGTATGATTTCTGAAATCATTTTGTGTTCACAACAGAATTGCTTATGCTGTTCATCTTGTTAGTACTTGCATTAGTAGTGAACGGGCTTGATTATTTCAGCCTTAACACTCATATGAATGGTGGATGTTTATAGTTAGAGTATTATTTGTTGAATGAATACTTTAGCATGCTGCATTTTTTTTCCTGTTTTAAGTATATATCCTTGTAAGCAATAACTTTGGCATTACTGATAATGTTATACATAATCTACTTTAGTGCAGGAGACCTTCGCCGTGCTAATGGTCTTCTTGCCCGCTATGGTTTTCGTCTTCGTGAAGGAGGAAGTCCTTCAATATTGACTTACAATTTGCTAATGAAGGTTTCTATCTGGCCTATAGATCTGCAAAGAGACTAATTTAAGAGATTAAGTTTTCCCCCAAAGTTCTTATGGTGCTTTGCTAGTTGGTTAAAATATATATCACTGAAGAGTAATCTACGTTTTGTCTTTTCCTCTCCTCTAAACTCCCAGGGATACATAAGCACAGGGTGTCCACAGGCTGCAATAAACCTGCATGAAGAAATACTACTTCTTGGGCTGAAGCCTGATAGACTGACATACAATACTCTCATCTTTGCATGTGTCAAGGCAGAAAGTTTAGATGCTGCAATACGATTTTTTCAGGAAATGAAGGTCAAACACTTATTTGAGGGTTGAATTTGGTCCATTATTTTCTTGTCCATTACTTTTCAATGCACTAGTTAATGTCATTCATATGTGTAGGATCTATCCATGAATTGTTTAAGTCATAATTATTGCGACTGATTAAACTTGAATTGAATAGTAATGGAGGGGAGCTTGACCTCTTATTTAAAAGTCTAGTTTAGAGCCTCCCACATGCAAGTAATAAGAATAATCAGGGGAATTTCCTGGTTGACCTAAATTTTTATACTTGATTTTTTTTCAGGACAAAGCACAGCAGTTATGCCATTCAGATCTTTACCCGGATGTTGTTACTTACACCACACTATTGAAGGTGAGCTTGTCTTGTGTTTATTTAGGTTTAAACAATTAAATAAATGAGCACTTCACCTTTCAAACTTTTAAATGTTAAAAGGTTTTGTTAAATGTGAGAACCTTTTATATTGCAACATTCGCTATGATATGGATGGAAAGCAGTTAATACTTTACATCATATTTGGTAAACCCTGTTGTATTTCTAAAATCTTCATCTTTTTCTTGTGAATGCACTTGAAATACATATATTGCTCTTTTATAACCAAGAAATTTATGAAAGAATTTAACCTTTTACTATATATGTGTAGGGTTTTGGGCATGCTAAGGATCTTCATTCAGTTCAGAAGATTGTGATGGAGATGAAATCTCGTCACGATTTATTCATTGATCGTACTGCATTTACCTCAATGGTTGATGCCATGCTAAATTGTGGTTCAATCAAGGGTATGTTCTTGATTTTGTTTCAGAATGTGCAATGGGTCATGATTGTATCTTATTGTGAATGGGATCCAACCTAAAATTTTACATCCTATATCAGTTCATCATGCTGATTACATTTACATGGTACATGTATTAAGTTTATCCGAATTGGATGTAACTCCAAGGTAAATTTAAATATATGTATGCTGATGTTTTGATTAGAACTTTTTTTAAGGTCACACTCAGCACCATGTACATAATATATGCACCAACATTTATTGTTTGACTAAAGCTTCTGCATCAGTATGATGAAGCTCAAACTAAGTTATTTTGTAGATGATGTTTATCTGAATAATAACTCGTGGATTTTTACTTACAAACAAAAAAACTTAGGTGCACTTTGCATATTTGGAGAAATATTAAAGCGGGCTGGTGCAAATGAGGGCTTGAGGCCAAAGCCTCACCTTTATCTCTCCATGATGCGTACTTTTGCCGGTCGAGGGGATTACAATATGGTTAAAAAACTACATGAGCGCTTGTGGCCAGATTCCGCTGGAACCATCTCCCTGGCTGTTCAACAAGAAGCTGATCATCTTCTTATGGAGTCTGCTTTAAATAATGGACAGGTACTCGGTCCATTTACACATGGTAGTTGGCATTGCAATTTCTGATGCATAGCTCACAAATTTATTAGGAGTAATTGTCTCATCTGCTTGTACCGCATGAACTGATGCAGGAAGACTATGTCTCTACTTCCAACTTCACTGCATGAATTTCATTGGTTTTGTTTCTCCACCTCTAGGTTGTCCCATATAAAGGGAATTCTCGTGCTTGGAAATTTTGAGTTCTAATATTTTTCCCTTTTCTATCAGATTGATGCAGCTTTGGAGAATCTTACAAAAATTATTAACAGATGGAAGTGTATATCATGGACCAGTCGTGGAGGCATGGTATGGAATTGATTCTTATACACTAAGGAAAACAAGAGATACAGCAGCTTAGTCTTATCTGACCTATTGAATATATAAGATATTTGAAATGGATGACAATATGTTACCTTTGTTGAAAATGTGCTGAAATACCCTAATTTCTATTGATCCAAGAATTCTGGTATTCCCCATTCTCCTGTTTATTTAATTTGATGGGAATAATCTGGATTGCACCTAATTTAGTTTGATATCTGTCAAAATCTCTCAAATATTTGAAATTCTTTTTGGAAAAAAAGATCCTTTACCTTGAAATGATCCCCCCCCCAACACACACACACACTTGAAAGATGTTAGTATGCTGTTTAGTTAAACATGTTAACCTCCTTCAATCTACTTTTGCTATGCAGGTTGCTTTGCGTCTAGAGGCTCTTCTGGGATTTACCAATTCTATGCTCAGTCCTTACTTACTTCCCCAGGTACATGGTCTTTTCCAGTCCATTGGCTTGGTGGAGCTAATTGTGGATGGTGACTGCAACTAGCAGTTTCAATGTGCCAAGTCCTGATAAACTGTAAACTTTTTGGTTGAAATAACAAGATTTCGAATATCCAGGTGTTGCCAGGTGATCCCATTGAGAGCATCATGATGCCATTTGAAACAGCTAGACCTCTACATGGCACTTTGGAGTTGAATAGGGTAGTAATGCGCTTATATAGAGAGCCACTTGTGCCTATTATAGATGACTGGGGAAGCTGCATTGGGCTGTTACACCGTGAGGATTGTTGTGAGGTACTAACACCCTTGTTGCTAGCTTATAAAAATATGATTGATTTATAACTCCATTTCGCGACTTTCTTGATTTTGTTCAATCATCCATCTTGTTGCATTGTTCTGCATGATGTGAGAATATATGATCCATATTTATGTATAGTACTTGTGTCAGGGCGATTACTGATGAACTGTATGAAATTTATAATTGGCTATAATTCATCTGAAACTTCTGTTGATCCTGTGCAGATGAATGCCCCACTTTCAACAATGATGAGAAGTCCACCTCCTTGTGTTACAACGACAACAACTATTGGTCATGTAGTCGATTTAGTTTTGGAAAAGAAGTATAAAATGGTTATTGTTGTAAAACATAGCAACTTGAACGGCACCACGCATGGGTCTAGGGCAGTTGGTGTTTTTACTGTTGAACAATTATATAACCTCGTAACACCTGTACCAGAGGTGTTGAAACAAAAACACTCAGTTCATAGAAGTTTAACTATGTTTTGATGCCTTTCTCATCTTCCACTTGTTTTCCCAACAAATATCAGTAGCTGAGATCGCCAGAATGCATGTAAATAAGAGTGTTTTGTGTTTATTAATTGCTGATTTGTTGCCCACTGTGGATAAGACTTAGCAAGTTTCGGGGTGTTATTACCATTTAACACATTGAGTAATTAAGCCTAACCCTTCGGATAATCTATTACATTAAATTCTTTCAAACCCTTGTGGCATTGAGTTGCATACAAGAATCAGCGGAAAGTTGGAAGAAAATTTTAAAGAAAATAAACATCATTTCTCCATGGGATGATGATGATGAAAAAACTATAAGCTATGGTATGCGAAGGGTTGATCACAATTGAATGAATCTCGGGAAATGATTTGATCATATATCACTACAGATTTTGGACAAAAATCATGTTGATTTGACGTTAGAAGTTTCTTATCTATGACATTCTGAAATGCCCCAGCCAGTGCGAGAACTTTGTTCCTCCTCTGTTGTACTAGCTTAGTGGCTGTTTCCTCGATCATATTATTGTACGGTGTTGTAGATACCTTCTTTCCTTGTACATGGCTCTTGACGACGAGGTTTGTTGTCTTTGGCTTTGCCTTTACCTCTGTCTTTGTCTCTGCTTTTACTACTGTCTTTGTCTCTGCCTTTACCTCTGTCTTTGGCTCTGCCTTTACCATTGTCTTTGCCTCTGCCTTTACCACCGCCTCTGTTTCTGCCTCAGGCTCTGTTTTTTGCACTGTATCTAATTCTTGTACCGTTTCTTCTTTACTGGATTCAAGCTTCTGCCGCAGACTTCCTTCATTATCATCCTCCCTCCTGCTTTCAGGTTGTTCTTTTTCTTCTTCAATTTCTTTAGTAGCACCCACCTCTTCGGTTGCATCATGCTCTCCTCCATGTTCGGTTGTCGCCTCCCTATCCTTACAATGAGTCTTTTCCTGCTGGGGATCATCACCAACAATGATTTCCTCTTGGATTTGATTCTCCTTATCTCCATCATCATGTTGAGGAATATGATCAGATTTTACGTCCTCTACCTTATCTTCCAACTTTTCAGTATGAGGCTCAGGTTCATGCTCAAACTCAGGGTCAGAGTCAGGCACAGGCTCAGGTTCCTTTTGTCGTTCCAAAACTGCAATAGAAATATCAGGTTCGTTTTGTTGTTCCGAAACTGGACTAGAAATATCAAGTTCGTTTTGTTGTTCCGAAACTGCACTAGAAATATCAGCAGTATCTTGTCCTCCTTTATCAACAACACTTGTGACTTGAGTAAAATCTTCGTCTTCCGCTGTGGCCTTAGCTTCAGTTGTTCCACTCTCTTCAGCTTTTGGAAAATTGGTATCAACCGCTTCATCCTGATCAGCTTTTGGTGTTATGACATCTTCCGTTTCACCTTGATAAGTGTTTCGTGTTCTGGCATCATCTGCTTCACCCTGATCAACGTTTGGTGCTATGACATCATCCGCTTCACCTTGATAAGCGTTTGGTGTTCTGGAATCATCTGCTTCATCCTGATCAACGTCTGGTGCTATGGCACCAGCCGCTTCACCTTGATAAGCGTTTGGTCTTATGGCATCATCTGCTTCACCTTGATCAACGTTTGGTGCTATGACATCATTCGCTTCACCTTGATAAGCGTTTGGTGTTCTGGCATCATCTGCATCACCCTGATCAACTTTTGGTGCTATGATATCATCCGCTTCACCTTGATCAGCCTTTGATGTTCTGACATCATCCGCTTCACCCTGATAAGATTTTGGGGTTTTGGTATCATCTGCTTCACCCTGATAAGCTTTTGGTGTTTTGGTACCGTCCGTTTCACCCTGATCAGCTTTTGGTGTTTCTGTATCATCCACTTCACCCCGATCATCTTTCACCACCTTATCTGTCTCAGGCTCAACTTGATGATCCAAATTTTCTTTATTTTCATGTCTGGTTTCAACAGACTGGGCTTCCTTTCTATCAGGAGTGCTAGGAGGTTTCCTTGAAGCCGAAGGAGGAGTCGATCGTCCCCTCCTAGTCTTAGTGCTAGTAGTAGTAGTGGGGGGCTTATGCGAGCTCCTAGACGAAGATGCCATTGATGTTTGTGATTTCGTCGTAGCATTTGGCTTTTTGGCAACACTCTCCAAGGGTGCCGCAACAGGTTTTGAAGTTAAAGAACGAGACGTGGATGTCGCTGCTGCTGCCGTTCTAGGACGAACGGGAGACATAAGTTCCTCCTGAGCTCGAGCAGGTCTATCAAAGGATCTTCTTCTGATAACATTGGGGCTTTGGGAGGGGTCTTCGATGGCAGGTTTCTTTGAAGTCTTGGGAGCAGTATCAGTGCGTGAACTTTTCGTGGGCTTGAGATAGTTTGGTAATTGTTTTTCAGTGGAACTGGAAGGTGTAGAGGAAGAGAAAGGTTTTCTTGGAGAAGGCTTCGAATTCGAAGGGGAAGTGCCGTTCTTCCCTTTCACCGATGCGCTAGCTTCTCTTCTTGCGGTTGCCATAAATTCCTATATAAATGACAAGAGATGGCGTACCACCTTGAGAATGAGACCAAATTTTAGGGAACAAATGGTATAAATGATTTGACACAAATAATAGTTGTTGTATATGAAGAAGAAAAAGAACAGGGAGATGGATAAAAGATAAATTGGTTTGTTTTCTTAGTTTGGTAAAAGGGAAACCAAGGGACAAAGAAGCGACAATATCGCACACTCAATGGTCCACATTCATACATGATGCATATCGGGTGTTGAAACCATCCCACAAAAATGGGATTTTTTTACCTTAATTTCATTGGCCGTACCCATATTGGCTCGGCACATTTTAGGAACATTAGTTGAAACCACCCCATCTCCATTACTATATATACGTGCCGCTCAACATAAAACACATTAAATCAACTAATAATAATAATATGTTATAACCTAAAAAGAACAATGAATGTCTATTATAGAATTATATGATAATTTAAGAAAAAATAACGGGTGCCCATCATAAGATGATCGAATAACTTAATACAATATAATAAGTGTCCACCATAGAGTGTGACGGATTACATATTCTATTTGTAACAAATCTTAGCGGAGTTTCAACACACATTAGTTTAATCTATATTGGCAAAACAAGGTATATAAAAAAACATACAACGAAGTCTATTCAAATACTCTAGAACACGTCTTTAAGTTCATAACTGTAACATATGTGCTTACCGAGAAGTGTGTTAAACAATTACTATAAAAGAAAATGAATTAATGATGATGGATAATGGAACTTTGGATTTTGGCTTTGATAGCAATTTTACACTTGACTTTGATTTTGTGCTGCAAGTTGTTCCGTGACATTTTTGGGATGCACTTAGCATTTGGCTTTAATTTTGATAGCGTTTGGATTGGTTGACAAACGCGGCAGTTTGGATCTTTCTTTCACTTTCGTGGAAAATACTTGTTATATTCCTTTTCTTTCTTTCTTACTGCAGTCTCTGTCTTCATTCATTTCCCCTGAAAAAACCCATTTTCTCCTTCATCTTCATCTTCTTTAAGAGTTTAAATCTCGGTCCCTCTCCCTCTGCAGATTCAATATTCAAAAGGAGAATACGGAGGAGCTAAGAGGTATAACATTGTTGCTTTTCCCTTCATATTTAGCGCTCCTTTATTTTTCTTCCCTTTTTAAATTCATTTTCTTCGTTTCTTTTTTACCTCCATGAATTCTCTTTTCTCACCACTTATTTTGAAGAAAAAGTAACAAAATCCCGGCTTCGGGTCTTTGTTTTAATTGAACTTCTTATTTATCGACAATTATATATACTAAAGTGTTGATTATTTTGATGCCTTGATCATTCTGTTTTCCAAGAATTTTTTCATATGGTAGCTTGGGAAGGGAAAAACATGGTCAAGTCTTGATTAAATCTTCAATTTGCTTTTCTTTTGCAGGGTTTCCTTTTGTCTGATATACTTTTTTTTTAAAGTTAATTTTCGTTTTCTCGGGTGATAAGCTTTTTACACCCTCAAATCACGGACAAAGTCTCTTTTTTTAGAAAAAAAGAACAGATGAAAAATGATAGTGCGTTGAATAATTCAACCAAAGAGAAATAGAGAGAGACCCACTTTTCTTGGGAACAAGTTCAGTACTGGAGCTTGTGACCATCTAGTCTCCTCTATTGCTCTCTCTTTGAACATGTTTTGATCCTTTTGATAACAAAGGTGTTTCTTTCTTTTATATCTTTCCTCCTCTTTCCTTTCTGCTGTCAAGTATTCTTCTATCATATTTCTTTCATTTAGTTTTTGAGCTGCATTTTTCTTTTTGGACTTTGCCATTTCTTACTCTGTGTGAATGCTCCTTTAGACTTCATCGTTTTTATTGATAGAAGGCAAGTATACAGTTTAGGGTTTTATCTATTATGTATGTTAGTGTTGCTGGACTGCTCTGTAAGTTGAAGAAACTATTCATTTTTGGGAACTTTTAAGTTTGTATAGAAGTAAATATTGAGAGTTGTAACTATCTTTTGGAATGAAGTTAAGTTGTTGGTAACGTGATTGAGCTCCCGTTATGGGGATGGCTGAAGAGACTGTATTCTGTTTTCAGTTCTTATCTTACCACCATAATTTATGATTTCTTCCGGCAGTATATATGCTAGCGGTTAGTTCTTTTTCGGCCTCCTGAACTAAATTTATGTCATGGCTGAGGATCTATATCATTTATATGATACATTTTTTTTCTTCCAGAAAGATACTTTTTACCTGCATGGATAGATATACGGGGAAAAGAGCTGTTAATGGGCTTGTACCTGGCAGGGGATCAAGCCTTGTCCTAAAGGATCATGTTAATATCAGAGAGCAAAATGCACAGTTTTACAGCCGTATTGGATGCAGTAGGAGGGTGAACACTATGAAAGGAACACCGAATTGTTACTCCGAAAAGGCCAAATCATCTAGGCCTTCTTTCTGCACTTCAATGAGTGAGAAGGAAATTGTTGGAAGTTCCTCTGGTGTATACCCTGCAGTTGGCAACACTAGAAAATCCTCTACAAATCTTCTCAGAAAGCTACCATCTCAGCTGGGAATAGATTCATCTGAAACTAGTAGTGTTGAGGAAGAGCCGGAAGTGTTGGAGCTTGTTTCCCCACCAGGAAAGATTCAAAGAGGGCTGCAGCCTCCATCTGAAGATGTTGATATTGGGGAAGTTACCGTGATGGAAGTAGGAAGCTCTAGTGTAGCATCAAACACAAGACAAGGGGAAATCTTTACTCAGAGTTCTGGGTTGGAGGACCAGGATACTCAAGCAAGTTCAGCTTTTACTTTGGCATCTCAAAGTGCTATCCGTGCAACACAAAGTAACACAAGCAAGTATGGTTTGAGAAATCCAAAATGTAACTCTATTGCTGTTGTCTCTTCTGGTTGTTCTTCTTCGGGTTCAAGCCTCAACAAAGGGGAAAATACAGTAAAAAAGAGTAATTCTGAAGGAGAGGGTAGTTCCTCCACCTGGTGGAAGAAGTTGAGTGGGTCATCTTTGGAGGGACTGAACAACAGTTCTAGCCTTGGTGTTTCTATTTCTGATTCAAGGCAAGCCAGAAACTGGTCTTCTAATAGGGATTGTAATATTGCATCTTCAGTTAGGATTCAGAGATCAAACAGTAGTTATGCTAGAGGGAGACCCCCAAACCAAGCAAATGGAAATAGTTTAAATTTGAATGAGTCAGCCTTAGTCATCCCGCAAGCATCTCAATCTGATGTACATATTGATTTGAATGCTCCTGTTTCAACAGAAACTGCCTCAACTCATGCTAGTTCTTACAATCGACCGCGTAGTGTAGGTGAGAATTTACTTGGTGTCATGCCTTCTATCCCTTCAGAAGTTGGCATTTACCGCTCTTCAGTGAACCGGGGTAGATTCCGGCGCTACAATATGAATGGCATTGCTGAGGTATACTAGTAGGATATTCCAACCTGGAATTCTTATGCATGGACTTACAAAATTTCTTCTTTCTCTCTCTCTCTCTCTCTTTCATCTTCTTTCCTGTGGAACTCCGGGAAGGGCCTGAGTGAGGCTGTGAATACAGTCTTACCCGTTAATATCTTGAATCATCTGGTGTTATAGAATCTCTCTTGGGAGAGGCAGTATGAAACTTTAGTTGCCTTTTGTTGCATCATTAAACTATTGAAGAATCATCTGTTACTTTTGCTTTGTGTTCACCCAGGTATTATCAGCACTTGAGAGAAGTGAACAAGATGCAGAGTTGACATATGAGGTAACTAGTTTTGAAGTGTCTGAGCTTACCTGATTATTCTGTGTTGTTGATTCTGTTTCTGTCCTGCAGCAATTACTCTAGAGACCGGCTTACTCCTTGATGGCCTAAACTTTTATGACCCACATAGAGACATGAGATTGGATATTGATAATATGTCATATGAGGTTTGTTACTGTTTCACTATGTGGGTTCAAATCTGCATTTTATTTTATCCACGCTATGCTTGTTAAGATAATCTAAAGGTATTAGCTTTTGTTGCTATTCATGACAGGAATTACTAGCTCTAGAAGAAAGGATGGGTACTGTGAGCACTGCGCTACCTGAAGAAGCATTATCAAAATGCCTTAAGAAAGGCACTTATGAGGCAGCATCTTGGGAAGATGTAGTTGTCTGCTTTGAGGGTGAAAAAGATGATATCAAGTGCAGTATATGCCAGGTCCTTTACTACTTAACCTTCCACTCTATTAATTTTCATCTCTGGATGCGACTGCAATGGTTTCTTGACTGGTTTCACTTAATGGAATTCATTGGTTTTTTTCTCCTTAGGAGGAGTATGTCATTGGAGATGAAGTAGGGAGGTTGCATTGTGAGCATAGGCATCACATTGAATGTATACTACAGTGGCTACGGATGAAGAATTGGTGCCCTATTTGCAAAGCGTCGGCAGAAGCCACATGCTTGTATTCGCCTACCTCATAATCAAGTTGAACTTTTAAAAAGGAAGCAATAGACCCGGGTTCTCAGTTTCTGGCATATTTCAGAATTGTTTTTTGATGATCATATATGTAAATATCAAATCCACCCATTTCGTGTCAAGTTGTTAAATCAAGTCAACCAGGTGCTCTACGTTCTGCACTGGTATTCATTCTCCATCGAAAGAAATGCGAATGAAAAATATGCTTGTTGGTTTGTTGTTTGAGCAAGCATCAGTAAGGTTCATGTTGTACTTGTTTTCGTCCTCTCCTTGATTGCTAGTAAAATAAAGGATCTTTCTGGTCATTTGTGGCTCTCTCAAGACAGTGGATGCTATTGGAATTTTTCTCGAATGAACAATCAATTAAGTTGTTGATCGATTAAAATTCTGATGCCGTTATATGTCATGCATTACATTATAATCATGTGTTACTTTTATTTTATTTTTAAAAAAAGTAAGATATCAATTTGAGGAGAAAAAAGCACTGGCTAAAATATCTTAACTCGAGCAGTTGGCCATGGCTAAAATAACTCAGGTGAGTTGTATGCATGTTTTGAGTTTTGTATACATGGGTAATAACATGATTCCAGGACAGATGGTTTTAATAAGAAAATGCTCAAGATTTATTGGTTCATCATGTCGTTGCTCTATGTTTCCCATACATAAAACATAATAAATAACATTGATCTTCACAAGCATTGCCTGTACTATTCACCTTCAATGCTGGGGAGAATTGGCATTTCATAATGTCCATCATAAGTCCTTCACGACCATCTGCAACAATCAGCAAGCGCGAAGTACATACTTTTCAGGTTCTTCACAATATGAAAACATCATTCACTGGTTCAACAACAGAACCTCGACATACCAGTCGATGGTGTGGATGGCAGAAATGATCAACAAAGTTAATGCTGTTAGCAAAAACCAAAGATTGTGATCCATCTAAACTATGATACATGCAAGTAAAACGGAGACCAAACTATATATATCCAATTGACAAAATAAGAACAGTAGTTTGAGCACTATGGAAAGCTGTATGCCACCAAATCTTTTGAATGGCAATTAATTACAATTAGCAAATCATAAATCCACAAGAACACAGAATCAAAGCCTCACAAATAGATTTTTCAGTGGTCATTTGGCAGAAAATCAAAATATAAACCACGTGGACAATATAATGGATATGGATTAGTTATTAATATTGAAACTCAATAAATTCTCAGATCCAAAATTACATATAGAGTAAGGCTGCAGCTCTTTCACATAATTTTACCTTTCACCCAGCTACAAGGCAGTGTCTCTGCAAAACTTTCTCAGATTTCCTCCTCAATGGCTGTAAATTACAATAAAATATTGGGATCTGTAGAAGACAACCAACAACAATGCTAATTGTACAACAGAGCAACAAGTTGCAAGTACTTCCTTTACGAGAACTTCAGCTCAGTTGCTCAAAAATAATAATTTGACCTGTCCCAGCTCTGCAGCAAGGGTACAGGCATCCCGACACTCAAACCCATAAGTTAATCTTGCAAGGGACAGAGCTTCATCTGACTGGGAGCAATCTGGTTCGTGTCAGTAAATGTAAACAGAATGGGAGCTTCAACATTTGTCAAGCATATTGAACCAGAACGAACATATCATTGTAACAGCTTCATGATAAACAATTTTTTGTTGAGCATTCATTCTTCAAAAGAATGCATACAGATTTTTTCCAGCAGCAATGACCAATCATCACCCAGCTGCTGGGGATTTAACTCCATTGCAACTTTAAAATCAAGCAAAGAAATTGAGCGCCTCTGCCCCTGTTCCTGCAAAACTTCTGTAGGCCCGGAGCTACTCTGCATATGCAAGTGATTACTTGGCCACAAACCATTAACGAGCTTGCCTTGATGCTGCTGCGTGTGGGCAGAGTGCTTTCTCAATTCATGTGTAGGCCTTGACCCCACCAGAAGAACACATGATCTGATCAGTCTCTTCAAGTATACATCTAACATGTTGTTTAACATGCTAGCACATTCCAATGAAACCCCTCCAAGGCCCTGCACTGCTAGAGTCTGCTCCATACGTTTCTTCAATGTCTCATTATCATACAAACTGCCACTGTCATAGTAGCTAATGAAGTCGCCACTGCTTGCCACAGGCAGAGTTTTGTGGGCCCCACCAACACTAGCTGAACAAAATGGAATCCCAAGAGGGGCGAGCAAAGGATTCCTAGAGAAATCAATGTGGTTGGCTTGCTCCACCTCCTCCCCGTCTTCAACAATAACTCCTTCAGTCAGACCTTTACTAAGCTCCCTTGGTTTTCCTGTGGAACACCCCAAACCTTCTCTTTCAATTACAGGCTGCTCAGCAATTGCTTGAAGATACTGCAATGGTCGCCGATAATCATAGGGTGTCAAATGCCCATTTTCCAGACCCAAGTTATTGCCATTGTCTTCAGTACCCATGGATTGATGTGAGAAACTCTCAACCTTTCCATTTGGCCCCAGTGGGCTGGGCCAATCCCTGAGCTTCCTATCATGTATTCCAGATCTAACCTTTTGGAGGGATGACATTAGCAAAACCCCATTAGAAGAAATGGCCATGTTTGGATTCTGGTTGGGTACAAGGGATCCAGTTGGCTCATGCCCATCATCTCTACCAACATAACTTTTCACATTTTGTATCAAAGATTTAGTGGGACCTGCTTCATGAACTGGTGGTGGAGTCTTAGCCTGACATGCATTTTTCAATATCGAACGTATCAACTGATTATGCAGTGGCAGATTCTCCCTTCCAAGAAGGCGGTAACATGACTTATCGAACTCACTTTTACTGAGTTTCTGACTCAAAAACCTACTCAAATTATAAAAATACCTTTTTGACCTCTCAGCCCCTATCTTCTTCACTATCTGTGCTTTTAAATCACCTAAATTGATTCTGGAACCCTGCTGTGGCTGCATTGCTCGATAAGCAGATTTCTACACCATTCACAGAACTATAAAACCAATGAAACTTGTTTCCACCTCAATCTACAGTTTTCTCCAATACCAAAGGAGTCCGAATCCACCTATTTGCATGCTATACAATGCAAATCAAACTCTTGATCTCTGCATGTTGAGAGAAAAAGTGCAAGCATGAATCCCAGATAAATAAAGAAAAAAAATTAGAAATCCAATTTCCACACATCCCTAAGACCCACATAGGAACCATTCATACAACGCAAACCCAAATTTCATCTCTGCAGAATCAAAACCCTAGGGATCAAACTCCACTTAAGTAATAAACAAAACCCCCCACAAAAGCAAAGCCGGATTGAATAAACGCAAAGCACGAATCGAAACCCTAAAGTTGGAAAAGCACGAACCGCAAATAAAAAGGGGAACAGTGCAGCAATTGAAACCACACGGGTATCACTTTAAAAGACAATTGAAGAAAAAAAAAAGTAAAATATTGGGAATTGGGAAATTAAAGTTGAGGGAAAGAGATCAGTGGAGTTTGGTGGGATAAGAGCTGGAATTGCAGAGAAAAATAAGCAAGGAGTAAATAGAGAGAAGCTTAAGAAAGTTTGATAAAAAGCTAACCTTAGGCAAGTTGCTCCACCAAATTGCAGAGAAATCCAGCGCCACAACAGCTGTTGATTGGTGTCGGGGTTTGGGGTTGGATTGCTCGCAGCGTCCATCGAATTCTTTTTCCCCCTTCCCTTCTTTCTTTAAAATACTAATATATAACAATCTCTGTGTGTTTTATTTAGAGTGCATTCTCTTTTTCCATGTTATTTTTTTCTTCTCCTTCTCCTTCCCCTTCCCCTTCCCCCTTCCTCTTCTTGATTTGCTAATGCTATATTTTCAGCCCGGCTTTGTTTTGTGTTAGCTCTATCTCTCGCTCGCTATTACTACTTACTATTTTAATTTTTTATTTTATTGTTTGGTTTGATAGTTGATTTTATTCATGTAATAACTTTAAATTAATATTTTTAGATTTTTAGATTCATTTAATCATATTAATTTTTCTTATCAATATTAATTATTATGATATTAGCATACTAATTAAATATATTGATATGATAATTGTACTGTACTAACATAATTATTTACGATATTAACCTAACAATCAACATACGAGAATTTTATTTAGTTTTTTAATTAAATTAAAAAAATATTTGATTTTTATTAAAAAATTAATGACTTATTTAATTTAAAAATAAAATTAAAAAAACTACAAAAATTATAAAAATATTACAATTATTAAAATATTTATAAAGTTATTAAACCTTAAACTAAGAAGTTAAGCTGAGGTACTAATTTGAACTAGGAATCTAAATTCATATAGTTAATTGAAAAAACAAATATCAATTAAAATATTAAAGTCAAATTTAAATACATATATAAACAAATTAGAAAAATTTAAAAGCATAAAAATTTATTTGTTCAGTTTTATTTGTTTATTATTATGTTTGAATCTTGTATTTTATATAATACTTAAATTGCTATTAAGCCTTTAATCCATTAGACAACAAATAATTGTATTTAATTATTATTTTTATTAGTATGAAGTGATTACAAAATAATATATATTCTAAAAATTCTCAATTATTTGACAGTGAATGCTCAAACACTCCTACAAACAACGTGCTCGAGCCTGGAACCTCAAAAATAATATTTATCCCTTTAATCATTGAGGTCGTTTGATTCATGTTTAATCATTATTTTTTGATAATGTAAATCGAATTAAAATTTACAAATTTGTTTTAAAATTACAATTAAATACTAGAGAGATTAAAGATAAATTCAAATTAATATATTAATTTAATACTGCACTTTTGAATCTTTATTTAATTAACTTTGCTATTAAATATTATTTATTTTGCTTTTTGTAATACAAAATAATAAGAATTGTATGTGATCAAAATTGAAACTAGAGTAAAATGAAGAGTTTACACAAACCTCTTATTACTTCATTTATTATATAATTAATTAATATTTATTTATATTTTAAAAATAGTTTTATTATTATTATTTTTATTAATGTTATCAAAATCATAGCAAACTAACTAGTTGAATTAAAGAATATATTAAATAATTTTGATAAAATAAAATATTATTCTTTTTCGAATATTTTTATTTATAGAATGAGTATATGTTGTTTTTTTAAAATATATATATGGCCTTCGTTATGGCCACCCATGGCAGGGTAGAGTTAAAGAATTGCTTTAGGGGGTGGCTCAATTATAAGAGCGCGAGAGGCCCAGAGTGTTTCTTTTAAGCAGTATTGAAATGCTCTGTAGAAAAATGGAAAAGCAACGGCCCAATAGCTCAAACATTTGAGCCCGTAGATATAATAACAGAAGGAAATCACGAGCATACACTCTCTTTTAAAGCCTTTCTTTTTCCTCCCGCCTCTCCCAATTTGTTTGGCCTTTAGGGTTCGGTTTCAATTTACAAGGAAAACAGGAAAGCGAAGCAATCACTCACTCGGGGAATCCGTCACGCCGAATTGTTACAGATGGCAAGGTTTAATGAAGTGTCCAATCTCTGTTTCTAACTAATCTAAACAAGCTAAGCTCGTTATATTGTATGTCTTTAATTTATCGAATTGTTGCTAAAATGCAAGCCTTAAATGAAATGTTTGAAAATTTTTGCAGGAGCAGCAACTAAAAGCTTATCTCAAGCCTCTAGAGATGGGAGAAGTAGTAATTATTCATTTCCTACATTTTTTAGTTTATTTCAGCCATATATTGTATTTATAAATTGCTGATTTGGGTCAAAATATCACTGTGTAATTGGTACAGAATTTCATGCAAGAGGAAGATATTCGATTGGAGACTACACGTGCAAGATGTAACTTATATATCTTTCCTTTTTTCCTATAGTAATTCTGTATGTATACATAAGATTTCTGTTTCTAAAGGAAATGGATTTTGTTTTTTCTTCTTTTCAGTTGCAAATGTTGTCAAAAGGCACGCCCAACTTACAGAGCGTCTCTCCAGGTGTGTATGTGTATATATAATCTCTATCCTTATTCTTAAGGCATCTTATTTTTAGACTGGTACGGATAGATTACACAAAAATGATAGCGTAGATGTCTTATACCCACTTGTATAGGACAGCTGATTTCTTGTTGGTTTTATGAACCTAGAGTATAAAGCTGATGAACGAGCTTGTATTCTCTTTCTCTTTTTCGTTGAGGATTAATGCTCCAAGTGGTCGTGATTTGGTAGGGATTCTGATAAGATGATATATGAGCGTCTGCAAAAAGAATTTGAAGCTGCAAGAGCTTCTCAAAGTCAAGGTAAATATATGCATTTGCAGTATCAAGTAGCCTTTTCAAAACTGTGTTTTGTAGCAATCAAAAATTTGTTTTATAATGCTTGATCTGTATGTTTAAAATCTCATTTGGTACTATACCCTATCTAATATGAAAAAAAGGTTGCTTAATTCATGTATTTTTAACTCTGACAAGAAATTTCCTTTTCCCCCTTTTGATCTTCAGAGATTAACTTAGATAGTGAACAGTGGAATGACGGGCTATTAGCTACAATAAGAGAGCAGGTATCCTTTTTTTCCTGAATTCTTTAAAGCAATTGTGTTTCCCAATTCACCCCCCTCTGTTTGTGGCTCTATTTTACTGTTCAATTCAGAATTTTTTTACTGTGGACTTGTCTTGACTAGGGCTGTAAACGAGACGAGACAGATCGCGAGCTATTCGAGATCGACTCGATCAAGGCTCGATAAATACTCGGATCGAATGGACTCGATTCGAGCTCGAGCTCGACTCGAGTTCTTAACGAGCTGAAACGAGCTACTCGATATTCGACTCGAAAAGCTCGTGAGCAGCTCGAAAATATAATATATTAAGATTTTATTTAAAAAAATAACATTAATAATAACATTAATATTTATGTATTGATTTTTTTTAAAAAAAAATACAGTAAGATTTTATGTATTTAAGGTTCATGTTCGAGTTTGAGTTTGAGGATTCAATCGAGTTAAGTTTAAGATTTTTTTTTCATTTCGAGCCTTTTCGAGCTGCTCACGAGCTTCAGTTCAGGATTTCGAGTTCGAGTCGAGCTTAAAAATTTTAAGCTCGCGAGTTTTCGAGTCGAGTCGAGCTCAGTAATACTCGAGCTCGACTCGGCTCGTTTACACCCCTAGTCTTGACGTTGAATGATTTTATTACTTTAATTACTAATTCTTTTAATATAACTTCTCTACTCCCCATTTGATAAAAGTTGCCTAGATGCTAACTTATCTGGTTTTTGATCAGGTTCATATGGAGGCTGATAGAAAGGCCTCATCTGGGGACACGAACAACATTCCAGCATCTAATTTCCAGGAAAAGGTTACTTATAGAGTCGGAAATAAGGTAACAAAATATTTTGATAATACATATATATATATATATATTTTGCAATTTTCATTATCTATAATCTGGATTATAACTGATACTAAAAATCTTCCTCTTAAAAACTTGATTTGGAAGAATGTTAATTGAAATTAATATCATCAGTTTTACTCAAATCAAAGATGAAGAAAGCTGGGGCAGCTTTTGAACAGCTTCTGGGATTGGATTTAAATTTTAAGGGGAAGTGCTTTTAATTTTCAGGAAACTATAAGCTATTGAAGTTGGAAAAAAAAAGTTCTTTAGTTTTCGTTAGGCAAGTCAGTTTCAGAGAGATATGTGACTATCAATAGATTTTTAGATTTTGTTTTAAGTGATCAATATTGCAACAACTCTTTTATATACGTGTTTTTTTTATTGTTGTATTTGTGAAGTCATTTTTTGGGAGCTCAAAGTTATAAGTGAACAGGTGATTTGTTTTTTGGAAGGGACAAGAATTGGCATACTATATGAAACATCTTTTGCAGGTATTACTGTTCTTTATAATTTGATTATCAGTATCTGCAGTTAACTATTTAATTGGCTCATTGCATGTAAAAAGTTATCACCTCAAGCTAAGGCGTATATTGAATTAAAGATATAATTTTTTTTAGAGAAGTTGGATAAGAAAATGAATTCAGTCCTTCTTAAATGTGACAAGGGTTACTCTTACAGTTCTTTTTTCTGTGATTTTGGTAGGGGAACCTTGTGAGCTGTACCATTGTGTGCTTGAGAGCAAGTCTTTTCTTGAAAAGATGACTGTCATTGAACATACAATTCCTTTCTTTCTGCCACTACGAGAAGTAGAAAATGATCTTCTTTCTTCTAATGCCATGGTAACTTGGTTGCATTTCTGGTTTTTAGTTTAAGATAACGATATTAGATCAGCTCTTATTTTTCTTTATCTATCTACTTTCAGAGGTTTATAGATCATATTGGAGAGTTATTGCATGCTTATGTGGACAGGTGTGAACAGGTAATGCTGTCATGTTGCTTATATGAAATTGTTATTTTTTTATTATCCCAAATCAGTAGTTCTCATGTTTAGGTGATGTTTTGTATCTTGAAGCACTTGCTTGGTCCACCATGACAGGTTCGGCTTGTTAAGGAGCTGTATGGAAATCAAATAGGAGAGCTGTATCATAGCCTTCCGTACCACATGATTGAATTTGCACTTGATGATTCTGATTGGTTGGTCCATTTTGTACTTTCTGTATATTTACATAGTTTAGTTTTATCTTTGGGATATTTTGGTTTCTGAAATTCATTGTGTTTGCCTGTAGATTGATATATACAGTCTTTCTTAATTTTTAATTATTTTTTAAATAAAAAAGTGAACACAGAATAACTTTTTCTTTTAGAATAGTCTTCACTATAAGGTTCAATAATTATCTTAAACAGGCAATACATGTTTTAGTAATTAGTTTTGCTTGGCCATTGATGAGACTGTTTTGTTTGCATTTGTTGCAGCAAGGTGACAATCAGTCTTAGATATCCAGATCTAGTTTCTGTTCTTCCAACTCGAGTAAAAGTTCTAGCATGGCCAATGCATCAATTTAAGAAGCATCATACAAGCTCCGCTAGAGCAATGGGCTCCCAACCTATTCCAGCTCGTTTATCTTATGCGGAAGATGCCTTGAGAACCATGAGCTTACCAGAAGGTATTACTTTTACATTTAATTTTCCCTCTCCAGTTGAAGAATTTCCTGGTAATTGATGTCGCGAAACATCATCTGCTGCTGAATTTGTATTTAGATTCAAGTTTGAAGAAATCTTCATGAGATGGCAATTTCATTGCCTTAGAAAATCACTTATTACTTTTCTGCTTTCCTATGATTGGATGAGTTATAAGTGATTTGATTTTCATTATGTTTTTCCACTGACACTTGGTTTGTCTCTTGCTTATTTGTATCATCAGCATACGCGGAGATTGTGTTGAATCTACCACAAGCCCTACAGCAAATATTTCAGGTTGGGAGTCCTAGTTAGCACTTCTCTTTCCTTTCAGTATGCGGTGTACAAAAGTTGTATGGGTTGTATAGGATGACATACATGCATATATACTTATGAATCATTGTGTATTGTTGGTTTTCCTTCATTTAGTTAGTATAGAGGAACATCCCCAATTTCTTATTGCTCTGCTTTACTCGCCATTATGGTTCTTTTTGTGTTTCTTATTGCCCACAAATTTTTTGGTGGTTAAAACTTGATTTTATTTATGCAAAGAAAGCAGTGTTCTGCTCATATAAGTACATTAGTATAACCAGCCTTTACCATCCAGCAACTATAGCCCATCTAATGCCCCAAGCTATACACGGTCACTTGTATTGCTTGTATCAGTTAAATGAGTTAAATGATTTCTAACAGCATCCTTGAGCATTCCTAACAACTTCAATTCAGATTTCTGTTGGCCTCTGAAAACCCTATTGTTTCTCTCTCCATACCTTCCTAGCATAAGCCGGAAGGGCGAGATGCAAATAAAAGAGCCCCTCGTCTCCTGTTCATATCGACATAACAGAGATTGCCCATCAACGTTTATTCCCAAGCTCGTAATCTGTCTGTTGTAGGCAAAGGATTATTAGTTGCAAGAAAAGCAATAACATAACGTTTTGGAATGAAAAGGGGGGCAACAGATTATCCTACTTCGTTGCATCTTGCAAGCCCTTGGTCGACTTTCATGCTGGTCTCTGCTTACAGGAATTTCATGGTTATTGTTCCAATTGCTATTGTTTGCTGTTGGCACTTGTAGAACTGATTTGCCTTCAAATGAGCAGGAATTGATCTACGCTAACCGACTAATATTGACCATAACTGTTGCACCACAAATGTTTTATTCCACCCGCAGAACTAATATTGACATCCTCAGTCTACGGTTTGCAAATTTGCAGTCACCTCAGTTTTGCTCCAACTTTCTTATCCTGTCCCTTTCACAAGAATATCATATAAATCTGATTCAATTAGTTATAGTCAGGTTCGGACTTTGAATAGTACAGTTTGTGATCCATATTTCAAACACTTAGTTATATATAGTCAGGATGGGACTTCAGGCTGAAGCAACTTACCCGAGCCTTTAAGTTGAGACTGCTATAACACTAAACAACAAAAATATAAAAAGAGGATGGGAACTGGAAATGTGGTCTTCTGCCGTTAAAAATAGTAGTCTCCTCTTTTACATAAGTTTTAAAGGACGGAGAATTTCATGTGAAGGACGAATTTTATATTTAATAATTTATAACAAAATTAAGATATAAAATTATAAGATTTTAAAAAATAAAATTATATTATCAATAAAAATATAAAAAAATAATTAAATTATATAAAAATTTAAAACATTAGAGGGTGTCGTGTTCACCAGCCTATCTCATTTCATTTTCGGTTATATTATAAACGAAAGTAACAATGAAATTTAATAATATTCCTGATATTTAGGAAAACGAAAGTGATCCTAGATGATTGGAAATCCCTATCTAAGTTTATTATTGACCCCAAAATTAAATTTTTCATGTGACTGGTTTACCATAATACTCTACCGTTCGGGGAGAAGATAGCTGCAGCGGAACTAGGAGATGGTACATGCCCCCTATGCAATTTGGAACACGAAACCACTCTTCACGTGCTCAAAAAAAGTCTCGGTCTATTATTCTCCTCTCTGTATTATACGACGATTATGGGCTGGCCTGCCTCGACTTGTAAGGAATGACTTGAAAAGGTCGCTGCCCCCACCCGTCACAATGTACCAAGTCCTTTATGGTAACGACCATTGGAAGGGAGGACTAAAATAAATGTGGATGGAGCTTTCATACAAAATTCAGGTGAGTCGACTATTGGACATGATTTTAGGCTGTGTTGACCGCAAGTTGGAATATCCACAAACCATCTATTCAACGGAGGTAATGGGCTAATGGCCTTCATTTATGAAATTCGGTTGACGACTGAAAACAAGTGGAATCACGTTACCATTAAAGGAGACGTCATTTCTATTGTCAATCATCTCGCATATCATCAAAAAAAAAAAAAAAATTGATCGTTGGATTGTTACTCCACGAGACTCATGATATTCTTTCGCGTCACCCGAATATCAAGATTTAGTACACCAAACGAGACATAAATAGAGTTGCTCACTCATTAATTCATTAGGATATGTTGAGGGTCAATTTTTTTGTTTCATTTTAATGGATCAGATTATATTAAAAAAATTGTACTTCTTAATACATAAAATATTTAAATGAAATCTTACCATTTTTTAAAGGGTAAATTATACCGTTCCTCACTATATTTTATTTCTCTCCTATTTTGTTCACTGTAGTTTCAATTTTTCTAATTTGTTCACTGAACTTTACAGATTGAATCATTTTACTCACTCTTCTGTTATCTCTCTAACGTCGTTAACAAAAAGATTAAGGTTGCCTCTGCCGACCACCGTCGACCACCACAGATGGTGGTAGTTCGGTCTCAAATTTCATGGGTCGCTTCATCTCAATACAATGAGTCCGAATTCGACCTCCATTTAGTCAGAACTTGCTCCAAAGTCCATGATTTTGAGATTGAAAGTGAGGAAGCCGAAACGTTTCAATCCAGATTCACGGGGTTTGGGATATTTTCCGGTGAAATAACCACCAGATTCGTACTCAGGGGTCAAGATGAACTGACCCATGAAATTTGGGATCGAACGACCATCATCAACGAAGATGGACGGTAGCCAGAATGAAAATGACGTGGTGGTCGGCGACATTTCTTGTGCCATGTCATAACACTGTTAAACATTTAACGGCAGAGTGAGCAAAATGATTCAATCTGTAAAGTCTAGTGATCAAATTAAAAAAAATTAAAAATACAATAAATAAAATAAGAGAGTAAAATATAGTTAGGAACAATATAATTTACCATTTTTTAATACTGCTAGTGCTACAACTGTAATGAAAGTTATTAAAAATGGTTTAAAGAAATATGATTAGCTTTTCAAAATAAATTAACTTTTAATTTTTAATTTAGAAAGGATAAAATATCTATATACCGAGTTTAAATCGACGAGTTTAAAACGAGACGGCAATTGCCATCCTCTCTTTCTAAGTTCTCTCATTTCTTTTGGCATTCTTCCTCTCTGCCCCTCGCGTCTTTGGTACACTGTTTGTTGTGGTTTCATTTCAATCTCAGTTTTTTTCTTCGATTTGCTCAATTCAAGGTATGGGCAAGCTTAATTCTTCTTTAGTTCTTCGTTCAATTGTTATTGGTGGAAGGGATCTTTCTAATTTTCTCTCTACTCTTTCTTGTTCTGTTGACACTATTGCTACCCACATCGAGGCTTTAAGTACCCAAAAAAAGTACTGTCGCTTTGATAATGTTGATGATTCTCTAGCTTTGTTTAATAAGTTGATTGAGAAATACCCAAAACCTTCAATTATTGAATTCAATAAACTATTAGTACCCATTGTTAGAATGAAACATTATGCCGTTGTTGTTTCTATGTATAGCCAACTGGAACTAATTGGAGTTTCCCATGATGTTTAATCTTTGAGCATCTTGGTTAATTGCTTTTGTCAATTAGGTCGAATTGATTTTGGGTTATCTGTTTTGGGGAAAATGCTGAAGTTAGGTTTTGAACCTAATGTCATAACCTTTTCCACTTTGATTAATGGACTTTGCAAACAGAGTAAGTTTTCTCTGGCTGTGAGTTTGTTTGATGAAATGGTTGAAAAAGGTTATCAACCTAATTTAATTACTTACAGTATTATACTTAATGGATTGTTTAAGATCGGCAATACTGATAGAGCTGTAAGGTTTTTAAGGATGATGAAAGAAAGAGGTTTCGAACCCGATATTGTAGTATATGGCACTGTCATAGACTGTTTTTGTAAGAATGGTTTGTTGAAAGAGGCTCTCGGTCTCTTCTCCGAATTGAAGGCTAAAGGCAATAAACCAAATATCGTTATTTACAATTGTTTAATTCATGCTATGTGTAATTTGGGCCAGCAAGAGGAGGTAATAAGGCTTTTGAATGAAATGATGGATAGCAATATTTCACTTGATGTTATCACATATAATATCTTGATCGACTCATATTGCAAGGAGTGTAGGATTTCTGAAGCTATAGATACCATTTACACAATGAGAAAGCAAGACATTGAGCCTGATGTTGTCACATATAAATATATTGGTTGATGCTTATTGCAAGGAGGGAATGGTTTCTAAAGCTGAAGACATTGTTGACACGATGAGAAAGCAAGGCATTGAGCCTGATGTTGTAACCTATACTATGTTGCTAGAAGGCCATTGCTTGCAAAACAAAATGGAAAAAGCTAGAAGACTGCTTCAGTTAATGATTAAGGAGGGTTGTGCACCTAATATGCATAGTTACAGCGTCATGATCAATGGATATTGCAAAGCTAAAAGGTTAGACGAAGCATTGAAACTCTTTCGTGAAATATCTCGAGCAGGACCAACTCCAGGTACTGTTGCATACACCACTCTAATGCAACATATGTTTCAATTAGGGAGAGTTTCTGCTGCAATTTCACTTCTGAGGGAGATGCTTGCTTCTGGACAAGTTCCTAGTCTCGTGACCTGTTCGATTTCACTTCTGAGGGATATGCAACGTATTGATGTTGCAAAGGAATTGTTTCATGAGCTATTCGTTGAAGGTTTAAAACCCACGATTTACACATATAATATAATGATTAGTGGATTCTGTAAAGAGGGATTACCAGATGAAGCATATCAGTTATTTAGGAGAATGAGAGATAATGATTGTTTGCCCGATAGCATCTCTTATAATGTACTGATCCAGGGTTTTTTTCGGAAGAGCGATACCTCAAAGGCAAAACAACTTCTTGAGGAAATGGTCGATGAGGGATTTTCTGCAGATATATGCAGTGCCACCTTATATGTGGATCTACTCTTACGATCTGATAAATTTATCTTGATTTAAAATGTTGTGCAGATATTATAAAGATTATTACTTGTGAATGATTATTAATGTCTATTTCCAGTTTGGTTGATCTACCTTAAACATTAATGCTTATGTTGATATTTTAAAAAACTGAATCAAATTATCATGTTTAAATTTGGTTAATCATAAACTAACTAGTAACATAACCTTGTGTTTGTTTCCAGCCTCAGTGCTGGAAAGATATAGTTTGAGCTTTCCCTCTTCATGCCTTGTCTGGTATGGATTTTTGCTATGGTAATATGTTTACCTATTTGCCCTGCTTACCTCGCATTTTCTTTACTATTTTAAACTGTATAGATCTTTGAGTTCGCCGTGTTGTATTGGATCTGATATTTTTTTGTTCTTGGATTTTTACTTGTCATAAATATATGGTGTTAATGGTTTTCAAACCTTATCTTTGGGCCACTTGAAAAGTTCATTGTGTAGTACTTGTTGGGATTACATCATATATACCTAGAAGATCGAGATGGCTTAACAAGGATGAGGCACAACCACAATACATTGTACGAGATGCGGGGAGGAAGGAGAAACATTTTTGAAACAATTGAAAATGTCCTGTACATCTGCGCAAATGCCCAAGCAGTTTAGAGGGTGTCTTGTTTTAATTATTCTCCCTCTAGAACAGGTTTTAAATCCTCTGTCATGGTGATCTGATGTTGGGGACAATGCTTGCCAACTCTCATTTTGTTTTCAGGTTAGAGCTTTGGCGGGGCCTATGGAAATTCCGGAATGATTGGTTGATGACTGATGCTGTTAAAATTTGGAATGATGCTTGTTATTGTTGTAATGAAATTTCATGGTGGTCTGATGACTGATAAAAGTGCAAGGGAAGCACCCAAAAATCTGCCTTACAAGCATCACTGTTTCGAGTTCAGCTATGCCGTTTGTGCCTTTGATACATAGCAAATATTTTCATGCCAAGCAATCATGTTACCTACCATAAGCCTTTACACACGTGGGACAATATACAATGTTTCGGCGAATATATATTCAACAGTCACTATTATTAAGACCTTAAAAACATAAATTCAACATTAAGATCATGAAAACAAACATCTACATAAAACCAAAACTTTTATGCGGCCGAAAGTGTCTACGGGATGAATGTAGTTCAACATGTCAAAATGGCTCCCCAAAACCATCCTAAATTTTAGAAAATTCCTATAAGCAGAGTGGAATGAAATTCGACAATGGAAGGGATAATCTGTTGCCCTCCCTTTTCATTCCAAGTTATTGCTTGGCTTACAACTAATGACAACTTCATATTGCAATTGACAAGAAGGAATTCTCTGTTTTTTTTTTTTTGGGGGGGGGGGGGGAAGAAAGAGTAGAGGACCCTATAGCAAAGAAATTTATTAAAGACTGAAAAAAGACCTAAACATGTCTAACTTGCCTGGATAATGTGCATGAGAACTATTTTCCTTGAAAAGCAAAGAAGAAAAAAAAGAAATAAAGGTGCTGCCAGGAACATATCATATTAATTATCATTAAGTTGTTTTTCCAGAATATCACAGATTTTGTAACATTGTTCGACTAAAACACACCTGGAAATACAAGTGCAAATCAATCAGCCTTGTCAATCAATCCATCTAAAGTCCTTTGCAGTTGAAAAGCACTACACCGAGAGAGACGCTGGCTGTGTTATTCTTAATTTGATGGTGGTAGGCTTTGGTTTTTTTCTCACTGCTACACTGCCTTCATTTCCTTTCTTGTCACCCAACCATACCGTATGGTTAACTGATTTGATTGAGCCAAAGAAAAAACGGGTTCCTTCTCCGTGGTCTTTGAGTTCGACACATCAGAGTTTCAACCCATTGACATAACCAGACTACTAACGCTTTCATAGTATGACAGTGCCACCGTTGCTTAAATTATTATTAGCATCATCAAGAGTCATGATGATGCTAAAGAAAATAAATTTATGGTGCATATTTATGATGAATTGAGGAAAAAAAAGGTTAATGGCGTGAGAGAAAATTGCAAAAATTGGCACAATAGATTCAAAGTAGAGAATAGAGGCAGACATAGTATGCAAACTTGGAATCGATATTTATTACGACTCCCATAACCAGTTTACAAAGGAAACCGATGTTTTAAGCTACTACTTGAATTCAATGCCGTACTAAGACCTCTTCAACAAACATGCATAAATTAACACAGAATTTGGCAAAAAGCTTAGTTTGCAACGGATCAATGGTGAACCTCCCACCCCAAGGAATCCCGTATATACGTATTTCCTTCTTGCAAAAACTGGTCTTTCAACCATGGGACTTGTTTGACTGCCGTACGGAGTTGAAAAGAATGTTCTTGATGACCTAAAGGTTTAAGATGATTGAAACTGAATGTTATAACCAATTCAAAGTTAAAGAAAGAATTTCCAGGAATCTGAAACAGCTAAGTCACCTGTGACATTAAACCATGGACTCGCTCCAAAGTTATCTTTGCACTATCTCTAGTAATCTTAGCCAGCTGAGATTCTTCCTGCAACTAATAAGTGGGTAGCCATATTGCATTCATTGAGAGAAAGATAAATTATCCTCCGGAAATCGCTTGAGCATACAAAATAACAAAATTCATACAGACCTTCTTTCGAGGGGGTCCTAGTGGGCCGATGCAAGAGTGAGCCAATTGGTTTTCTGGTTGCTCCAGCTTTTCAGCTGCAAGATGGAATGATGTCAAAAAAATAAACAACCAAGAGCCTAATCACAAAATAATATTTCACGTGCAAACAAGAAAATATACTATCCATACAACAACATTAAACAAGAAAAGAAGAGTTACCTAAATCCGAAATTTGCCCTGCAACATAATCTCCATTACCTAAGAGAGGCGAAGAAGAAAGGGTGTTTACCCAGTACTTATTCCATAACAGATCCAGGAGGTGACAATCAAGAGAGGACTTGAAATAAGTTATATCCAATGGATAGTACTGCAGAAAAACATACAACAAATAAATAAACAGCAAGAGGACAAGCATTCTCGGAAATAGGACTAATTGGATTTCATAATAACCTGTTTGCAGTGCACACCAAAGTCTTCGATCTTATTGAGAGGAATTGTCTGATATTCAGCGATGGGGTCATCGGGAGGCGTATATCCTTCACGGTATGTCCTGAAAGCTCCAATCTCAACTTTTCCAGCTGAAACAGTCCTTGTTGGATCGATTACAACTGCCAGGAAGGGCTCTTGAAACTGTTGATTCAGCATTTGGGTTGAAACATCAATACCAGATAGCCAGCACCCATACCCGGGATGAGAATGGTACCATCCAACAACATTTTCCAAACGACCAGCCTACAATACAAACCATCTTATTACTCTTCTTAAGAGAAATGATTCTCATAAACAACAACACTACCATATTTACAGACACAATAGACACATCTCACATTGGCTAGATATTTGCCTTTTAAAGTGTTTAATTATTGCCTTCTAAACTTACACTCGTTGAGTGATTGAAGACAAATCCCAAATTTGCTAGATATTTCTTGCAATTTATTTATTTATTTACTAGTCAGTGCTATCGGGTTTGGCTTAAAGCAGTATATTCACCAACATATATAACTGCAAGGATGCAAGTTAAAAGCATCTAGTTCAACTCAAATTCAATTAACATCATTTTTCTTTCTATAATCTAGATGGTGCAACGATGATAAATTAGCTCCTCGCAGTGGAAGGAAATGATACTTATAAAAACACTTATTTTATTTGGTATTTCCGTCTCCCTATATATCAACTCTTCCCGTTTGTCTTGGCTAGGGTACTAAACTACTTAAATTACCAAGAATGGGCTAATTTAGGGTTTCATCAACGCCAGCTTTAAAGCAAAATCATAAAAAAGAGAGGTTTTAAAAAAATAAACCTGTTTGTTGGTCTGGGAATAGTCGACCATATACTCGTAGGCATCCGCTTGAGCGTTAACCCTAGTCTCAGTCCCTTCAACAGGCAAAGCAAAGGCGTCCATGACAATGATGGCGTCGCCGTCAGTCTTCCCTTGCATTAGACCCATCACCTCTATGGTACCACCAGATCGCGCGTGGACTACCATCTTGAGGAACGCGAGAGCAGAGATCTTAACGCGCTTGAAGTAGTGAGGATCATTGGCCCAAGGCTTCTCTTGCTGGAACTTGGCTTGCGCCGCCTCGTTGTAGTAGAATATTGTTCTCTAATTCCCATGTTTTCTGGGCTATTGAGGAATCCATTGTTGTTATTGTAACTCTTTTTCACTGAAGCAACCGGCGCCGAGGTTTCGGTTTTATTGACATGCACCGGAGACGAGCGCTCAGGTGGGGAGGTATAAAGAAAACAGCCGCTTCCCTCCAAATGACTCAGGCCCATGTCTGCCGCTTGATTCGAGACTGCTCGTCAGTTATTGGGTTTGGCCCTTGACGAAATAAAGGAAAGATAAAAATATTTAATAATTAATTAATACACAATCAGTATAAAATTTATTTTATACAATCAACCCATTTTAATCTTAAAATTTAAAATTGAACCAATTTCAACACCAAAAGATTATTCAATTTTTTATTTGATTTGGCTTCCAAAAAAAATTATGAGCTAACATTTTGGTACAAACATACAGTCCGAATAAAATGATTGGCTAAGACATTGCAAAAATCAACGGAAGCTAATCGGCAGTCAACCAGTAAATGGACCTCGGACGCCAGGCTGAAGCACAAGGAAGACGGGATCGAGCAGCCTGCCACATTTGTCCTTGACAATAGGTGAGATGAGAAGGGTAACTCAGATTTGAATCTGAGGAAAAATGTTGCCGTAGGACTTGGAATGTAAATAAATGTTCCTGGAGATCCAATTAGGGTTATTCAGATCTGAATTGAGAAACCCGGGGCCATCGTAAGGAGTCTCGGGTGACATGGAACCCGATAGGACGTCTCGGCGTGGGGAAGCTCCAGAAATGGTGGCCATATTGGAGGATGAAAGAGTAGCTGGCTGAGTCAGGCTCAGGTCCTGGTGATTTGTTCGATTTCATCCGTTTCTTGGATTATTTGTTCTTTTTTCTGAAGTGGTTAATAACCGTTGTTTCCAAATTCAATTGGCCTAAATTTTCAAGTATTATTATATTTTCGGCGGGACTGGAAATGAATTGGATGGTTTAGATTTTTTATTTTTACAAGAGCAAATGTTTTTATTTTTATTTTAAATTTTGGTTTAATGGTTCTCTAGTCCCTCCAACTATTTAAAAATCAATAAGATTTTTTTTTATTTTTTTTCATACAATTAATTTTAAAAATTACTAATTAATATAAATTTTTAATCACAAAAAAATCATACATTATTATTAATAATTTATGATATTAATATGATGGTTTATAAGTAAATAATGACTTAAATATTATATAATCAATCCAAATTGTATTTAAAAGATTACATATCTAAAACAATAATTTTTTATATAAATATATTTCTCAACTGATTCAATTGAAAATTTTAAAATGTATAATAAGCTAAAATAATTGAATAAACCAATTCCATTACATGAAAGTTAGTCTCGATTTAAATCGAAAAATATTAAGGATAATTATGGGTGTGATTTAGTTTTTGATTTACTTGACTCGTATTTAGGAGGATCTCACCTGACTTAATTTTTTAGATCAAAATTTATACCTGACTTATATATATAATTTATTTTTATTATATAAAATAAGTATCTAATTGAAAATAATAATATAGTTATTACAATTGTCCTAAAATATAAAAGATATAATTATAATATTATCTTAGATTGAGTCGAGTTTCTTCACCCTAAATTTAAATCTGACCTAATCCGATCTCACTCTTCAAAAAAAAAACTCAATTCAAACTCAAATTTTCAACAACAAAAAATGAATTAATCGAATAAAATAAAAATATATCAAGTTCGGATCAAATATTCACTTCTAACGAATACTCTCCTCTAGCTATGTTTGTTGCAAGGTTAAGGCTGAAGCCCATGCAACCATTGGAATTTAACCCAACCCAAATGGGGAAACGTAACAGCACAAGTCCAGCCCATCAGGTTGGACTCAGTCACAGCATTGTATCTCATCTCATTCGTCATTAGCTGAGCCGCCTCAACCTCACCGTCACCTTCAACGTCATCGACTAGGAGAGGAGGCTGCCTATGTAACAATATATACATGATATAAATATATTTGGCAAACCCTAATCCTCCCCCCCCGGATCCCTCAAGGCCCTAAACTAAAGTTTTTAGATAATTATTGCTGATCAAAATAAGAGAGGAAATGCCGGGTCTAACCTGCAACGCGTGTAACAAAGAATTCCTCGACGATGCAGATCAGAAGCTCCATTACAAGTCTGAATGGCATCGCTACAATCTCAAGCGCAAGGTCCTTTTCTTTTAAAACCATTCCTGATTACTCTTCTTTTTAATTTGTTGTGATATTTCTGAAAATCTTTTTATCTTTGAAGTTTCCCCTTTTAAAATTATTCTCTTTGTTATTCATATGTGCATAAGTGAACAAAAAATCCCTGCTTTTTAATCATACAGATGATCTGATTTTATCAGTCGCATCGTTTTAGGAAATAAATTATACTAATAACTATATTAAAGCTGGAAAACTCTCTCTTATGTGAGTTTTAATTGTAAAATTAATTAAATCAGGTAGCTGGGGTTCCTGGAGTGACGGAAGCTCTGTTTCTGGCAAGACAATCGGCACTTGCTCAAGAGAAACCAAAAGCAGAATGAAACCCCAATGCTTTACAGTTGTGGTGTTTGTGGCAAGGACTATCGAAGTTCCATGGCTTATTCTCAGCATCTCAAATCACGAGCCCATATCATGCAAGCTTCTCAAGGAACCAATCACCCTCAAGAGGAGAATGCAATTATCAAGCCACTTCCTCGCCGTGCTGTAAACAAACCTCCCCAATCGAGGGATAAAGATGACGAGGAAAGCGAAGAGGAGTGGGAAGAAGTTGATCCAGAAGAAGAACTGGTTGGTCAGGCTGCAAATTCCTTGAACCATTTGAATGTAATCGAGCATGAAGCTGCTGATCAAATGGTAGAAGATGAAGAAGAGGAGGAGGAGGAGGCGGAGGAACTAGATCCGTGCTGTTGTTTAATGTGTGACCTGGAGCACGATACAATTGTGAGTTGCATGGTTCACATGCATAAGTTGCATGGTTTCTTCATTCCTGATGTTGAGTATTTGAAGGACCCAGAAGGCTTGCTCACCTACCTTGGCCTTAAGGTATCAAATTGTATGTAATTTCTGGTTTTGACTAAATGTGTTATATTTATATATTGAATTTTAGTCTGTTTTTGGTTTGTCTTTTAGGTTAAGAAGGATTTCATGTGTCTGTATTGTAATGAAAGGTGCCATCCTTTCTCCAGCTTAGAAGCTGTTAGGAAACATATGGCAGCCAAAGGTCATTGCAAGGTGCATTATGGTGATGGTGATGAAGATGAGGAAGCTGAGTTGGAAGAATTCTATGATTATAGCAGCAGGTATGCATCTCATTTTATTTATTTCTTTTTTAAATATATATATTTATATATATAAATTTGTTATTGCTTACTATTATTTCTTTGGAAACAGCTATGTGGATGAGAGTGGGAAGCAGTTGGTTGCAGCTGGTGATACAGGCAACTCTGTAGAACTTGTTGGTGGCTCAGAGCTTGTTATAACCAAAAGGTCTGGTGAGGGAAAAACAAGTAAAACACTTGGTTCCCGAGAATACTTGCGCTATTATCGTCAGAAGCCCCGTCCATCACCTGCAAATAATATGGCCATTACAGCTGCTCTGGCCTCTAGGTCCGTTTTCACTCCTACCAAATCTTTAGTCTATATCATCTATGATAGGAACTGCAATTGCAACAACCACAAAAAAACTACAGTCATATGTATAAAGTATATATCAAATGGGGAATTCTGCATTGATTTTCAGGTACAGGAGTATGGGTATAGAAACCGTGCAGTCAAGAGAACAAATAGTGAGAATGAAGGTGATGAAAGCAATGAATAGAAAGGGAGCGGAGACAATGCGTACAAAAGTTGGCATGAAGAATAATGTCATTCGGAACTTGCCCAAGAATGTCCCATACTAGTTACTAACTCTCAGCACATTGGATTATCCTTTTCAGTATTATATTATATTGTATATGTTGAGAACCTTGCACCTTATTAATTTGCTTGCACCCCCAGTGAAAAAAAATCTAAAATGCTATGTAAAAGATGTTTGAGATGCAAATGAAATCAGCTGAGGACTCGCATTACAAATACAGCTGATTGATTCGCTGGAAGGTGGTGGATGATGTTTAGTTTGGTAAATGTTCTTGTTTAGTGGTAGGAAATAAATTTTGATTAAAAAAGATAAGACCTACATCTGATAATTCTGTTGGAAATTTAAGGAAAATGGAAATAGAATTTATATACATAAGCCCAAAGTAAATGCATTTCCTCATTTTATAAGCACTTATTTTCCCGATACCTGCATCAGTGAGTGATGGTGATTCAAGCTCACATCTAATAGTCTTAATATGAGCAATATCAGATTTTAGGATTCACCTTTTAATAATTTTGTTAGAATCTTACCAATAATTAGTTGGTCTAGTGGGATGAGGTATTAGGTACTTTAAACAATGTCAAGTGTTCGAATTCTGGCGTTTGCGAATTGAGCAAACTAGGTTGGGAGAGTCGCCCTCGTCTCTGTGGTACTCGATCTGGATTAGTCAGTCAATAGATCAGATACCAGTGATTAATTCAAAAAAAAATCCTGAATAATTTTGGTATTTTTTTATTTACATTATAAGTTGAAACTTAATTAGTATGAGTTTAACAATATATACTTTATATTTAATATTTTGAATAATTTGATTACTTCAATTAATTAATCAATTTCAAATCATATTAATTAAGAACCACAAAACAAATAAATCATTCAACCAAATTATTAGATCAATTGAGTATTTCAATGTTAACGCACCCGAGTACTACTGCAGCACTGCTAGTGCTGAAAACCAAGAGATGATAACGTGCGGAGATCGCATTTTCCATTTGTTGCATTTTTCAGCGGCCAAGAAGCAGGCGGAAAAAGCAAGCTTACTAGCGCGAAAATAGACACGAGTCAATCTCTCTCTTTTAATTTCGTTTTCTTATACATTTTTTTATCTACTTTTTGTGATTTCGTTTTCAAGTTTCAACCCTCTTTATCTTTAAATTGCGTTTAGTTCATAGAATGTAAGATTATCAGTTGAAATAAAAGATTACTAGAGAATAGAATTACTGAGAATGTTGTATTTTGTGTTTTGTATTTGGTTGGTTTAGTAGGAATGTAAGATTACCGTGTTTGGTTAAAAGAATAAAAGATTATTAGAATGTATATTTTATCAAATTATCCTTATTATATATTTGTTTTTTTAACAAGTTGAAAAATATTTGTATATTTTCTTTAAAAAATTTAAATTCATAAAATTTATATAATTTTTTATAAAATTAAAAATATAAAAAGGTTTAATAAAATGATAAAATTTTATTTTAACCCATGAACTTCATATAAAATTTTAATTATAGATTTTTTTTGTAAATCTAAAATAGTTTAAAGATAAATTTATAATTGAATCTTCATAGAATTTTTATTATTTAATGACAGAATAATAATATTTAAAAAAAATTAAGGGCATTTTAATCTAAAACACTTTTAATCCAACAATATCTAAAAAAAAAAGAAATAATTACATTCCCGATAATATACAAAAAAATTCACTATTAATAATATAAGATTACTAAAAACGACATTCTGACCAACCAAACAAAAGAAATGTAAATTCCATTATATGGGAATCTCGCGTTCCCCAACCAAACACATCCCGGTGGATTTATGCCTTCTCAGGCTTCTCAGTACGCTAATTCAGCTCCATCTCAAGTAAGAGACGGTCATCTCCCTTCCCACTTTGTACCCAGGAAACAACTAAAGTATTCTTTCCAAAAGTTGTAATTTTTCGTGGTCGATCTAATTTCCGTTTTCTTAATTTTGTTTGAAATGAATCCTAATTTTCAAGCCATTGTCCTCGAGTTTCAATTCCATGTAGCTTAGTTTTGAAGAGATTTCAATCAAGGCACTCAACTCAGCTATTGGGTTATTTCATTTTCTTTCATTTTTTGGGGGCGCTTCGCTGTTTCAGGTTAAGGTTATTGCGATGCTGTTTAACAAAAATGTAAGGTCCTTAGATGTTCGTTTCGACCTTGATGATGGAATTGGCCGAGTTGAATGTATAAGATGGTAATTCACCGGTTTCCATCTGAATCAAATTAATTTATGAATGTCATCAATTATTTAGAGTTTCCCTTAATAGTAGCAGCCTAGTTTCTGCTTTTGTTTAATTACTACACTTAAAATCAGTGTTGAAATTAGAGAAGCATTTTTTACATGAAATCTTAATTTGTTTCCTTTAAATGAATATATGTTTCCTTTAAATGAATATATGTTTCAATCAGGGTAACTGAAAGTGTTGACACAAGAGAAATGGATGCCTTAGAGTAAGTTCTCTACTGCTTTACTTAATTTGATTCGCCGTGATTTATTTTGTCTTTTGAAATGTCATTGGATGCTTTTACATCAAGAATCATCTTATTACACTCTTTACTTCCATTGTACAGTAAGGAAGGAACTTATGTTTGTGTCATTGGACACTTGCAAAGCTTTCAAGGCAAAATGCAATTAAATGCCTTCTGTGTAAGGTACGGTTTAAATTTTCTAGTTTCTCCAATTTGCTGAGAGTGTTACCTCTGTCCATAGTCTAATCATATTAATGATTCTGATGCCATCTGGTCCATATCAAGTGGCATTGTTTATATGAACTCATCTATATGTGTTTGTCTATATGCCATTGTCCTCGAGTTTCAATTCCATGTAGCTTAGTTTTGAAGAGATTTCAATCAAGGCACTCAACTCAACTATTGGGTTATTTCATTTTCTTTCATTTTTTGGCGGCGCTTCGCTGTTTCAGGTTAAGGTTATTGGGATGCTGTTTAACAAAAATGTAAGGTCCTCAGATGTTCGTTTCGACCTTGATGATGGAACTGGCCGAGTTGAATGTATAAGATGGTAATTCACCGGTTTCCATCTGAATCAAATTAATTTATGAATGTCATCAATTATTTAGAGTTTCCCTTAATAGTAGCAGCCTAGTTTCTGCTTTTGTTTAATTACTACACTTAAAATCAGTGTTGAAATTAGAGAAGCATTTTTTACATGAAATCTTAATTTGTTTCCTTTAAATGAATATATGTTTCAATCAGGGTAAGTGTTGACACAAGAGAAATGGATGCCTTAGATTAAGTTCTCTACTGCTTTACTTAATTTGATTCGCTGTGATTTATTTTGTCTTTTGAAATGTCATTGGATGCTTTTACATCAAGAATCATCTTATTACACTCTTTACTTCCATTGTACAGTAAGGAAGGAACTTATGTTTGTGTCATTGGACACTTGCAAAGCTTTCAAGGCAAAATGCAATTAAATGCCTTCTGTGTAAGGTACGGTTTAAATTTTATAGTTTCTCCAATTTGCTGAGAGTGTTACCTCTGTCCATAGTCTAATCATATTAATGATTCTGATGCCATCTGGTCCATATCAAGTGGCATTGTTTATTTGAACTCATCTATATGTGTTTGTTAAGTTAGCTTTCTCTATATTCTCAATGAAGCAAGCAGGAAAGTCAAAACAAGGATGGAAGTTGTTTTATGCTTCTTAGAACATTTCATTGCTTTGTTGTTTGTGTTTAATTATTTGCCTGCTCTGGTTTGGTATTGCAATGAGAAATTGATGCCAAAAGAACCTACTGTCTGATAATCTATCATTGTTCACCTTAGTTGCATTTAGTTTGTACTTATGGTACCATTAGAAATCATTTAGCTTCTTTCTATGTGCAGTGCCTCTTTCATCTATTATTTTATTTAACACCATGTCTTCAATTCTGCCATTTGCCCCCTTATTGTTAAATCTTTAATTGTTATATTCCCAGGATATGTAATATTGACAACTATATGACTTCTATTCAATACACTACTGTGCATCTCTGTAAGCATTAGTGTCATTGTTTCTTTGGGTTTCTTGTAATTCTCAGGCCCGTGACAAGCTTTGATGAAGTTACTTGCCACTTTATTGAGTGCATATATTGCCATGTGCAGAATTCCAAAGGACAGGTACTTTATGCCTAAAACTGTTGAAGTTGGTAACTAATAATTGCTTAGGCATGTGATTCTTCTCCTGAGATGAGTATTGCTTTTGATTGGTGTTTTTCCTTGTGCTAATTGTAGGTTAGAAGGTGTGTGCTCTGGCCCAGCCAAAGATGACGATTCATCATTGAGCATTCCTGTGCGAGCCATATCAAGTGGCATTGTTTAGATGAACTCATTTATATGTGTTTGTTAAGTTAGCTTTCTCTAAATTCTCAATGAAGCAAGCAGGAAAGTCAAAAAAAGGATGGAAGTTGTTTTATGCTACTTAGAACATTTCATTGCTTTGTTGTTGGTGTTTAATTATTTGCCTGCTCTGGTTTGGTATTGCAATGAGAAATTGATGCCAAAAGAACCTACTGTCTGAGAATCTATCATTGTTCACCCTAGTTGCATTAGTTTGTACTTATGGTACCATTAGAATCATTTAGCTTCTTTAATTGTGAAGTGCCTCTTTTATCTATTATTTTATTTAACACCATGTCTTCACTTATGCCATTATTGTTAAATCTTTAATTGTTATATTCCCAGGATATGTAATATTGACAACTATATGACTTCTATTCAATACACTACTGTGCATCTCTGTAAGCATTAGTGTCGTTGTTTCTTTGGGTTTCTTGTAATTCTCAGGCCCGTGACAAGCTTTGATGAAGTTACTTGCCACTTTATTGAGTGCATATATTGCCATGTGCAGAATTCCAAAGGACAGGTACTTTACGCCTAAAACTGTTGAAGTTGGTAACTAATAATTGCTTAGGCATGTGATTCTTCTCCTGAGATGAGTATTGCTTTGATTGGTGGTGTTTTCCTTGTGCTAATTGTAGTTAGAAGGTGGTGCTCTGGCCCAGCCAAAGATGACAGATTCATCATTGAGCATTCCTGTGCGAGCCATATCAAGTGGCATTGTTTATATGAACTCATTTATATGTGTTTGTTAAGTTAGCTTTCTCTAAATTCTCAATGAAGCAAGCAGGAAAGTCAAAAAAAGGATGGAAGTTGTTTTATGCTACTTAGAACATTTCATTGCTTTGTTGTTGGTGTTTAATTATTTGCTTGCTCTGGTTTGGCATTGCAATGAGAAATTGATGACAAAAGAACCTACTGTCTGAGAATCTATCATTGTTCACCCTAGTTGCATTTAGTTTGTACTTATGGTACCATTAGAAATCATTTATTAGCTTCTTTCGATGTGAAGTGCCTCTTTTATCTATTATTTTATTTAACACCATGTCTTCACTTATGCCATTATTGTTAAATCTATTATTGTTATATTCCCAGGATATGTAATATTGACAACTATATGACTTCTATTCAATACACTACTGTGCATCTCTGTAAGCATTAGTGTCATTGTTTCTTTGGGTTTCTTGTAATTCTCAGGCCCGTGACAAGCTTTGATGAAGTTACTTGCCACTTTATTGAGTGCATATATTGCCATGTGCAGAATTCCAAAGGACAGGTACTTTATGCCTAAAACTGTTGAAGTTGGTAACTAATAATTGCTTAGGCATGTGATTCTTCTCCTGAGATGAGTATTGCTTTTGATTGGTGTTTTCCTTGTGCTAATTGTAGTTAGAAGGTGGTGCTCTGGCCCAGCCAAAGATGACAGATTCATCATTGAGCATTCCTGTGCGAGCCATATCAAGTGGTATTGTTTATATGAACTCATTTATATGTGCTTGTTAAGTTAGCTTTCTCTAAATTCTCAATGAAGCAAGCAGGAAAGTCAAAAAAAGGATGGAAGTTGTTTTATGCTACTTAGAACATTTCATTGCTTTGTTGTTGGTGTTTAATTATTTGCCTGCTCTGGTTTGGCATTGCAATGAGAAATTGATGCCAAAAGAACCTACTGTCTGAGAATCTATCATTGTTCACCCTAGTTGCATTTAGTTTGTACTTATGGTACCATTAGAAATCATTTAGCTTCTTTAATTGTGAAGTGCCTCTTTTATCTATTATTTTATTTAACACCATGTCTTCACTTATGCCATTATTGTTAAATCTTTAATTGTTATATTCCCAGGATATGTAATATTGACAACTATATGACTTCTATTCAATACACTACTGTGCATCTCTGTAAGCATTAGTGTCGTTGTTTCTTTGGTTTCTTGTATTCTCAGGCCCGTGACAAGCTTTGATGAAGTTACTTGCCACTTTATTGAGTGCATATATTGCCATGTGCAGAATTCCAAAGGACAGGTACTTTATGCCTAAAACTGTTGAAGTTGGTAACTAATAATTGCTTAGGCATGTGATTCTTCTCCTGAGATGAGTATTGCTTTTGATTGGTGTTTTCCTTGTGCTAATTGTAGTTAGAAGGTGGTGCTCTGGCCCAGCCAAAGATGACAGATTCATCATTGAGCATTCCTGTGCGAGCCATATCAAGTGGCATTGTTTATATGAACTCATTTATATGTGTTTGTTAAGTTAGCTTTCTCTAAATTCTCAATGAAGCAAGCAGGAAAGTCAAAAAAAGGATGGAAGTTGTTTTATGCTACTTAGAACATTTCATTGCTTTGTTGTTGGTGTTTAATTATTTGCCTGCTCTGGTTTGGCATTGCAATGAGAAATTGATGCCAAAAGAACCTACTGTCTGAGAATCTATCATTGTTCACCCTAGTTGCATTTAGTTTGTACTTATGGTACCATTAGAAATCATTTAGCTTCTTTAATTGTGAAGTGCCTCTTTTATCTATTATTTTATTTAACACCATGTCTTCACTTATGCCATTATTGTTAAATCTTTAATTGTATATTCCCAGGATATGTAATATTGACAACTATATGACTTCTATTCAATACACTACTGTGCATCTCTGTAAGCATTAGTGTCATTGTTTCTTTGGGTTTCTTGTAATTCTCAGGCCCGTGACAAGCTTTGATGAAGTTACTTGCCACTTTATTGAGTGCATATATTGCCATGTGCAGAATTCCAAAGGACAGGTACTTTATGCCTAAAACTGTTGAAGTTGGTAACTAATAATTGCTTAGGCATGTGATTCTTCTCCTGAGATGAGTGTTGCTTTTGATTGGTGTTTTCCTTGTGCTAATTGTAGTTAGAGGGTGGTGCTCTTGCCCAACCAAAGATGACCCTCTTTCCCATATGTAATGGGGTAAGGGGGAGGTATGATAGTAGACTGCCCCCAACGCCAAATTGAGAGCAGCTTCCGTAGGAGACTTCCGAATTATGAAATGCCCTCCCACGACCTCAAGGTTAAGAGCCTTGTGCTCTACCAATTGAGCTGGACACGTGCATGTGTTATCTGTATAAAATACTTAAATTGCTTTTAGATTTTACTTTCATTAAGGTACTGCAAGTATCCAAGAGACATTCATCAAATGCATTCACATGCTTTTGCTGAAGGCTTTGCTCTTGTTAACTTTCTCTAAATTGATTTGAGTGGTTGTTATTTTCAGTGATAGAGAAATGGGGGTGCATCTAAATGAACTTTCACAACAGTTGAAAGCTCCCATGGAGAGGATAAAGTAATTTTTTGTGAATTTGCTTCTTTTTTTTCTTTTTCTTTTTTTGGGGGGGGGGGGGGGGGTGGGGGGCGATTTACTAATAGATTTGTTATTTATTTATATGATTCAATTTATTTGTTTTCCTTGTATCTTCTATATATGATAGCGATGCTATTTGAGTTTCTTGAAAGGGAAGGTTTGGTGTACTCCTCCATTGACGATTATCACTACAGGCAGTAGAAGGTTGCTAAATTTGGAGGATAGTTTTAGCTTGGTATGGAATTGGCATTTTGGGTCTGTAATGACTGAATGAAAATGCATGTTGCTTGAGTCCCTGGATCTTTTTGATAGAGCATACATGTATGTTTATGTTGGCTAGGAGTGGATAGGATGCTTCGTTCAATCTAGGTTTGGAATGTGATACTGTTGAAATTTGACATGTCGCACGTTGACTTAATATTGGTAACCTTTTTGAATATATTTATGCAGTACTAAATTTCAGCATGCTGCTAGAGATGGAGCTCGAATCATGTTTGTGATAGATCTTTTATTTTATATTTAAATATTGTTGTGATGCTCTATTGGTTTTACCAGTAAGCACTTTTGCTGTATAACAATAAAAAAAGGAAGTAATAAATATGGATAAAATGATTGGTGGTAGGAGCTGGCTATCGTCGAACAAGAGTATATTTACCTGCCATGGGTTTGTTTTGAATGGGTAAATGAAGTTCACTGCTCTGCTGAATGGGCTGTTTCTGAGGAATTGGGTGTATCAACTGGACAGGAGAAAAGGTGCAGAGTAGAGCAGCTATGAAGATTTCAATCGAAATTCAATATAATTACTAGATATAGGAAGATTTCATTAAAAAAAAAACTATGGCGAAATGACAAGTCCTATTGGAACAGCAGGAGCAATTGGTGACTTTGGCCCGGAAGAGGAAATACGTGTTAATACATAAACTGACCCGGTGTATATGCATTGCCTACAGTACATTCAACAATTTGCATTCTGCTTTGAATTGAAAAAAAAGAAAGAAAGAAATACGTCCCACGTGCAGTCAGACCTGAGACCACGGAGACTATGGTGAAATGACACGTCCTATTGGAACAGCAGGAGCAATTGGTGGCTTTGGCTGAAGTGTCCTGGTCTGCTTCACGTGATACCCCATATGGCCTTCATCTCCCAGTATCTTGGCTCGGGTCATGCGGCCCCGCCCCATCATAATCCACCCTCAATAACCAAAGTCGAATATTGCATTCAGAGCTACTTTTGTCTCTCCATTCCATTCCATTCATATTCTTCTATACATATATTTATATAAAAGGTTTTTAAAGGTACGTTTGTCGTCATTTCGCACAGGAACAAATCATAGCTAGACCAAAGTCGAATATTGCATTCAGAGAGCTACTTTTGTCTCTCCATTCCATTCCATTCATATTCTTCTATACATATATTTATATAAAAGGTTTTTAAAGGTACGTTTGTCGTCATTTCGCACAGGAACAAATCATAGCTAGCTGGATGATCATTACTGCACGTGTTGCCCTCCAACTATCTTCATTGATCTCATAAGGTGTTTTTTAATCCGACTGTTCTCTTTATATAAAACTAATATGTAATCAAACGTATATTAATGTTTGGTGATAGATTTTTTGAACCGGTACCGGCCCTTGTGTTGTCGTCGGCATTTTTTTTAATAATTGGTGATCACTTACAGGTTACAGCACATTAATCAACACAATTCTCTTAAGGTTGGGTCTACCGTAATAAGTATGGACTAGTTGATCGATGATTGCAGTTATAAAAAGACGTTTGAAAATGTAAATTCTGACAGAAAAATCATCGGGGTCGACACTTTTTAGTTTGTCATGTCGCTGCAGGCTGACATGGAAGAAAGTGATGGGATCAATGGTAAAATCTCCACAACTGCAGCCTTAATCGTTATTGTATTATATATTTTGCAGTACATAAAAGTATGAAACAAACACTAGTCCACTTTATTCCTTTTCATGAAACCAACTTGCAACCATGGCAAGCAAACTACTGAAACCCTAATTAAACATACAGTATTATGCAAACCATAGAAAAGCCCTAAACGCACCTGAGCGGAGAAGGGAAGAAAAAAGATAAAAGAGAGTGTTATATAATGCATGACACATATATACATATAGAGAGCTGTGATGAAGATGATGGAGTAAGCGTGAGAGTCACGGTCACAGTCACATGTCACGTACGTGGAAGACGTTGGGATTCTTAACGACGATATCATACATGTGAACAGAGCAGAACTTGGAGTAATCTTTAGGAAGCGATATGAGATCAATGGAGGAGTGCCTGTGGAACTGGTAGAGGTCAGGGTCACTCCCATAGTACCTCTCCCACCCTAAACCTCTCAAAATGAGCTCCAATGACGAGTAGGACGACACGACTTCACCCGATGGCAAATGCACCAAAACCCTTGTCCGGAGACTACTTTCAAGCCGATATACACCATTGTTAAACACCCAAACCCCAGACATTTTCTTTTTTGCTTTCAGTGTATGTGTTCTTCTAGTGTATGCTATATGTTGGCGGTGGTGAGCGAAGGAAGGATTGGGGGTGTATATATATAGGTGTGCTGACGGGTCACATAAAAGCAAGAGGAACCTACCAGTCTTAAGAAAGATGATGTTGATAGTTTAGGGTTTGGTAGAGAATCAAGATATTGTGGGACCTCGTCCCCATGGGTTTAAATATGAATGAGGGTACATAGATGCCTTTATGATGTGATTTAGGGTACACATTCCATCCATCCACCCGTGGGGTATGTATGTTTGTGTTTGCACAAAGAATCTCCTTTTTTATTTTAATTAAGTAGTATATTTTATTATACACATATATAAATAATGATGTAAATTAAATTGTTGGTTCTATAATTCAAGATTCTGGTGACACTGCTACTTTTTTTCTCTCCAGCTGGTGACACTGCTTTTATTAAGTGACTTACAGTACAAATGATGATGATAATTTATTTATTTAATACATCGACCCTTCTTTAAAAAATAAAATTAAAAACAGTGTATTATCTTAATCGAAAATGACATCAGTAAAAACAATGTTCGAGATCAAGTTGAGACAAATACAGACAAAATACAACAATAAAGCACTAACGGAAGTCCAATATACTAAGACATGCAGCAGCATTGGTGATACGACAAATATATCAAACTCATAAGTTGGCGTAAATAGACAACAAACAACGTGTCAAAGAAATTGTCGTTGTTCGTAAGAATCGATCGACAAAGAACTGCAAACCGCGCATACACACGTACGTGTCAAAGAAGGTAGTTTATGAACAAGAAGAAGTCACCGACGCCAGTCACCGTACCAAGATAGACAAAGAAGGCAGCACAACCAATGTGGAGGAGAATATCATAGATCACTTTCAAGCATACAAACCGCCACATATTGTTTCACAAACTCATAAATAGACAGGCGCCAACACTAACCAAAAGAATTACCTCGGAAACAAATCTAACACCAAACAAACAATCGCGCAGAACCAAGGATAGCCATGAAAACAACCAAGAATATAACCATGTACCGTGTCCCGGAAGCCAGACCGAAAAACAACGATAATCATGACTCTTTTTGCAGGGGAAGAGACGGAGAGAGTAGCTAATACTCATATTAGAACTTTATCTCCCTAAAAATACAAGGCAAGTTGTTATTTATTTACAATGAGATTAAAGAAAAACACACACAAAAAATGTAAGATAATCGATGGCCAAGGCCAAACGACCACCCGAAGGCTGGGGAGGAAGAGTGTGGCAAAGCAGTTGAACAATAGCGGTGAAAAAAAGCTTGATTTTTTTTATTCTTTATAAATATATCACTCTTCAAGATTTATTTATGAAAATTATATTATTTTGTCACATAATTTCTCTTGAAAATCGTATTTTATACAATATGTCTTTGTTTTCTTGTGATGGTACAATTAATAATTTTTATTTTATTTTTATTAATATAGAATAAATATAGAGTAATATTTGTTCGATCAATAAATCTTGAATTATGTGAAAGATACAATTGATTAATATTTTTTAGAAGTTTTAATTTAAAAAAAATAAATGGTTGAATTTTGAGAAAATAAGAGAGACGAAACACATTGTCTTGTCCAACTCATGCCCGTAATTCATATCACACCTAAACATCTTCCAACAACGATGAAAATATCAACTTTAAAATATTATTATAATATTTATAACAAATTATCACATCTTAAATGCATAATTATCAAAGTTTTAAAATATCAATTAATTATTTTAATTAAAAACCTAATTATAATTAACAAGTTATATATAGTATCCGATATGTTTGGAGACGATCATCAATAACATCATCCTCCTCCAATATACGAATATATCATTAATAATTAGATAATGATAATATAATTTTATTCAAATAAATATAATTTTTTATAATTTATTAATAAATATATAAATTTATTTAAAAAATATAAATTATGAAAAGAGAATTGAATGGGGGTATCTGCAGCCGCAATGTAGGGTGCAGCCAATTTACATGCATCACGAGATGCCCACGTGAAGAGAGACATTCAATTTGATTGTGTGGGGTTGAAATTTATTTATTTCTGAATACCCTTTTAAATAAAAAAATTGTATCGAAATTAATCGGGGATAGTTCTGCCATACGACAGCCTAATGTACGGTTAAAAAATGTATTATCATAAATATTAATATATTTTTAATATTTTTGGTAAAACGTTACTTAAAACATTATTTTTTTACTGAAAATGTTATGTAGCTAACGCTCAATATTAACATTTTCGGTAGAAAAAAATAATATTTTAAATAGCATCAAATATTAACATTTTCGGTAAAAAATAATATTTTAGATAACGCTTTATTAAAAATATTTAAAAATTAATATTTTTAGAATATTTTTAGTAACGTCTTTTCTTAATTGTATATTAAACTAACGTACCTAAAACATCCCCGCTTAATCAGTGCGCATGATGAGAGGCATCTCTTGTCTCTGGGTTTCCTATTTTTCCTTGTTGCTTTCTCAAAATTGGCTATCCATTCTTTGAAACCTTAAAAGTCACATTTAGTATTTTTCCTTTCTTTTATTATATTTCTGTAATCATTTAAAATTAACATTCAAAATTTAACTTTTTATTCTTTTATATTTTATTTCTCCTAAATTATAATGATAAAAAAATCATTTATAATATTTTTATAAAAGAAGTTTCTATCTATCTTTCATCAATTAATTATTGAAATAACAGATTTTTTATAAAAGAAGTCTCCATAGTGCTCGGCTTTCATAGCACCAAGAGATATGTGTTATGAACCCGCCTTTATTTCCTGTGGTGTTGTGGTCCTGTATCGATTTATTGGATTGGCTAGTGCAGGTCCCATATTAATTTATTGTCTTGGTTAGACTTTGTCAAGAATACTTTTTTTCTTCCATGTTAAGGTTAGGGAAGTTTTTTAACGAGATTTTTGTCAAAACAATGTATTCTTTATTTTGATTATAATAATATAAACTTCCTCTTTTTTTTAAAAAAAAATTATTATTCAATTTATAAATAAAAGTATGTAATTAATAGGCTTAAATATACAAAAGGTGTCTAATCTTTGTCCATTTTTTCCAGTTTAGTGTCTAACGTTTATTTCATTCCAGTTTGGTGCCTAACATTTCATTCCGTTACTCAAAATGGGTCAAGCCTTGACAGACCGTTAATTTTTTCCGTTAAGTGGCATGAGTCACAATCTGATAATTTAAAAAAAATTACATAAAAAATTATATATATTTTAAAAAGAAAACACATAAATTTTGAAATAACCCCAAAACTTTGAAAACCTTCATTTCAACCCCTAAACCCACGCCAACTGTCGTCATTTATCGTCGACGAAGCTTCACCCGACCTCACCTCCCCCCGGCAACCAAAACCCCTATGAAATCGTGACTGATCAATGGCCGATCAACGACAAATCAATGTTTTATACCCCACGAGCCCCATGATGAAAATCACAATCCCAAGCGATTTTGACGACAACTTATAACTATGATGATAACAATGACTACGTCAGTGGCGATGGTCATGTCCGAAAAGGGCGGCAGCAGTTAGTGTTAGGATTTGGGGATTTTAGGAAATTCGAAGCTTTTTTGTAATTTAAAAGAAATAAGAGTTTTTTATATAAATATAATAATATTTTTAATATATTTAAAAATTACGAGATTGTGACATTAACAGAATAACTAACGGTCCACAGAGCTTGACCCATTTTGAATAACAAAATAAAACGTTAGGCATCAAACTAAAACGAAATAAACGTTAGACATTAAACTAAAAAAACATACATAGGCTGAAAACCTTTTGTATATTTAAGCCTAATTAATATGATATTTATAACTTTCAAAGGTCTTGTTTTAATTAATGTACAATTGATGTTACATACATATCCTTTTTCACAGCAATTTATCTAATATGGCACACGTATGATATTAAAAAAAATTATATTATATATATTTTTTATAATCCTCGTATTACTAATTTATAAAATAGTTGAACAAAAATAAAGAAATAAGTCATTTTTTTAATAATTTTTATTTAGGAGATGAGAAGGGTAAATTTACTCCTAATAAGTATTGAACCCACAATTTAAGTACGTTAATTGAGAGCTTTTAACTACCTATTCTAGAGAACATTAACATAAATCAAAATTTTCAAATAAAATGATACTAGATTTTAGTTTTACAAAAATACGATATAGAAATAAAAATAAAATTAAAACCAAAACTTTTAACATATTTAAATTTAATAATTATGTGTATGTATTTAGTTGGTAAAGATGTAGGGAAGCCCACATGGCATCACATGGCAGATAAGATGGTCCTCGGTGGCTCACTCAAGGCAGCTAGGCAAAGGCAAAAATAGCTCATATAAGCCGTGTTGTCAAAATCTTGGGTCTTTCATATTCTTTGAAACTTTATTCACTCAAAATAAATGCGCCGCCTTTGTCTTGGCTACGAAATGAAATTCAACTTCCCATCCCCTTCAAGCTGTTAATTTGGACAAAATTCTTAATCAGTTCCAAATTTCATACTCCCTTCCCAAACCTTTGTTCACGTGTGTTCCTCTTTAAGCATACCAAATGGCATCATGTCCTAAATGACACATACACTCCCATCCCCCAAACCTTTTTATTTTTCACAATGCATGTGCATGTGTATCCCAAAAACAATACAAGTGTTCTTTCCATGCATACTAAGACTCCACCGGGGATGGATCCATGAGTAGTCGCACTCTTTGAAAATTTTAAATTCTCGTATAGATTAAATTTTTTATATATTTTATATATATTGATAATCTAATTTTGTACCCTTAAAATTTTATAATTATGTACACCTGAATTTTTAATATAATTTTTTAAAACTTTGCACATTTTACATAAGATCTTACGTCTGTCGCTAAACTCAATTTTTTTTTGTTTATCTCAATGGAAGGAAAGATGTGCATGCAAAGAGGGAACTAGATTAGACTCGACATCAGGAATGATTAATTTATTTAATTATTTAAATTTCAAAATCAAAATAATAAAATTAAATTTGTCTAATATTCAAATTTATATTTTGATTTAATTATCAAGTTTCAGGCGTTGTTTGGATTATAGTTACTGTTAAAAATATATGCGTTTTACAATTACACCCAACATTTATTAATATGTTATTGATATAATAATAATATAATTATAGCAGAAAGTATATAGTTGAGTATAATCAATAAGCATGAGAATCCGCTAAATCCTATGGAACTCGCGTAATGTACAAGTATTAGAGAGTGAGGGCATATATACTCACTAATAAATTAAGTATATAAATATATAAAGCAAGATTAGGTCGTCTATATATTTAAATAGTCACAAAAGTAAAGGGTATAATTAGCTGTATTAGTAGCCTAGAAATATAAAATTAAATTATGGAAGGAATTATGGAAAAGCTAAAGGGAAAGAAATAGATAAAATTGTAAACTATTCCTCGATAGAGTTGGGATAAGTAAATTTATTTGGGGATTCCATAGTCCATAATTCCCCTCTCCAAACTCATTAGGCAATGCAAATCGTTGCATACAGTTTGCAAAGCCAAAGGGAATATTATTATTGAATCGTGTGTATATAAATATACTTTCTCAAGTGACAATAGTTCAGTGGGAATTCCT